TCCTGGAAACTCGCTCTGTAGACCAGGCTGGCCTCGAACTCACAGAGATCCACCTACCTCTGCCTCCCAAGTGCTGGGATTAAAAACGTGCGCCACCACACCTGGCTAATACAGTACTTTTAAAAAGGTGTCCTCTCTTGCCGGGCGGTGGTGGCGCACGCCTTTAATCCCAGCACTCGGGAGGCAGAGGCAGGCGGATCTCTGTGAGTTCAAGGCCAGCCTGGTCTCCAAAGCGAGTTCCAGGAAAGGCGCAAAGCTACACAGAGAAACCCTGTCTTGAAAAACCAAAAAAAAAAAAAAAAAGGTGTCCTCTCTTACCATACACAGGAAAACATCAATAACATAATATCTGGCATGTGAGTTAAATATTTTGAAGGAAATGCTGTGACTCTTGACCTTTGCCTAGTTGTACCGGAAAGAAGCTTGCTACACTAGTCTATATGTGTTAGTTTCTTCATCAACAAGCAAAGGTCAACCTGAGATCAAAGTAATAAAGGTGGTAAGAACCCAGGACCTCAGATGAACATGGATCCCTTAGGAAGGAGTGTCAGGGTCACCACACAGGACAGTGGCTGTGGGAGAACACAGATCGCAGGATGAGCTTCAGGAGGTCAACAACTGCCACCTCAGTCTCTTGACCAAACAGGACTGCAGGAGCTAAGGAGTTCAGTTCTTTCTTACACAGACAGACATTTGTGGAGACAGACCTCTTTCTTCTATTGCAGAGGACACCAAGTTCTAGGTGCAACTGGAAGACTGGGAGTCGGAAGCTGTCCAGTCTATTGACCTTTCAAAGCGAAGTTTCCTCCTCCAGTCGGCTCTGAATACCAACTCCAACTTCTCTTCCATTTTTATTATTTGATTACATAAATAGTTTGTCTTTCATGATGGGACTCTGACCTGCTTCAGATCCATTTTATGTGATCAAAGTCACAAAGTCCATGAAGGTATTTGTCCCTCTACATAAGTGCCACTATGCTTGCATTTCAGCTTGGGTCTCTGTGATGGTTTGAATAAGAATGGCATCCATCAGCTCTTATATTTGAATGCTTAGTAATCAGTGATTGGCACTGCTTGAGAAGGAATAGGAAGTTTGGCCTTTTGGAGTGGGTGTGTCCTTTTTGGAGGAAGTGTTTCACTGGGGGTGGGCTTTGAGGTTTCAAAAGCCCAAGCCAGGTCCAGTGGCTCTCTCTCCCTGCTGCCTGCAGATCCAGATCTACTTCTCCAGCACCATGTCTGTCTGCTGCTGTGAAATGATCCTTTCTGTACACTGTGAATATGTATTACTTTCCTTGGTTAATAAAAAGCAAGAAGTTAGGTGGGACAGCCAAACTGAGAATGATGGGAAGGAGGGCAGAGTCAGGAGAGATGTGAGCCAGCCTCCCAGGTAGCAGGACATGCTAGAGGTCAGGTAAAGCCATGAGCCACGTGGCAATGTATACATTAATAGATATGGGTTAATTTAAGTATAAGAGTAAGAGTTAGCTAGTAACAAACCTGAGCTATCAGCCGAGCATTTATAATTCATGTTCAGCCTCTGAGTTGGCTATTTGGGACCAGGCAGTCAGGACAGGAAATGTTTACATATGGCGTTCCAATGTGTGACCAAAATTTCTACATATAAACCTGACAAAGCTTTAAAAAGGATTCATACACAAGAACAGAGTCAACCACAGTTTTTTGGTAGCTAGCTGCCTTTTCTCTGGTAGGCCCTGTTTTCTGGTGGCGAGCAGAGGCAAGGCTCCTTTAAGAAACCTTCCTGGCTCGGTGCTAGCAGCAAAAACCGGCAGCTCTTTTGAGAGGCTCTACTACCAAACACTTAAATGGTGTTTGTGAGTAGCCAGCAGCATGCTACCCAGTCGCAGCATGGACCCAGAGACTTCCCTGAGTTGGGGCTGTAAACATGGCTTTCAGAGCTGGTTGTAAATGTATCTCCGCCATGAGACTAGACACTTGGGGAACCAAGGGGGAGGAGCAGGCACCAGCACAACATGATCTAAGCTACACAGCAGTTTTTTTGCTCATGCAGACAGAAAAGGTTACAGATAAACAGTAAGGACAGATTCAAACTAAAAGAGCCTCTAAACAGGTCACAGTGTGTTTAAAAATATGCGTAGGCTTGGGAGAGAGAAGAAAATATATATATACAGTCTTAGATTAAAAAAAACCTTAAAGTCCTTAAAAATAGAGTAATAAAAATAGAAGCCATGTAAAGATGGGAAATACACAGAGTCTGGGTCCTGCATGTTATTGTGTTGTCTTTGAATTTTTGGGCTGCAAAAAGACAGTGGATTATGGAAACTGATAGATTAAACCAACCTATATATTTTTAAAACATCTTGACTTCAAAATTTAAGTCAAAAGATGTTACTTTGGGGAAGAAGTTATGTTTTCATTTCGACAGGAAATGAGAGGCTATGGATTCATTCCAGATTAAAGAAAATCAGGTTTGATCAAGGAAGACCCCCTAAAATTCTGACATAAAAAATGAGTAAATTCAGACCTAAGAAAAAAATGAACTACAAGACGTGATGTATATTTTACCTGCTCAAATACATAACAAAAAATAGTCTTTGGCTGACTTGTGTACAATGCATATTCTATACTTGTATTAATACAGATATGTTAACTTTAAAAGTTTCTATTTCCAGAGCAAGGAGACCAAACTCCAAGAAAAACAGATGCCCCAAGTGATCCAGCATTTCAAACTGCCTGTTAGTCTCCTCAGAATTCTGCATCCAGAACAGCTTCAAGGTTGCTAGCTGAGATGATCCAGCCTCACAGAATACTCCAGCCAGGACTTGACCATAATCCTCTATGGTCTCTGCTTCAGTTCCCACCTCCAGGTTCCTTCTGACTTTCCTCAATGAGGAACTGTACCAGGAGCTTTACGATAAACAGCCTTTCCTCCTCAAGCTGGTTTCGATTTTATCATAGCAACAGAGAAGCAAACCAGGAATTAACCAGCCAAATGCCACCAAAACCCCCACCAGTTAGGCTTTCCCTGGGGTCCTAAGAAACTCATCAAGTGTTAGCTGTGCATGGTTGTGTCTGTTGGCACTTCACGCCAGCTCCTGTGTTAGCTGTGCATGGTTGTGTCTGTTGGCACTTCACACCAGCTGCTCTTCTGAGGAAGCTATACTTCACAGTCTCACTGCACAAGAATGTTCATCTCAAAGCATCACTGGTCTCATTAGATTCATACATGGGCTTTTTATCTTGAAAACAAAGAAATTACCAATTTTATCACCGCTATGTCCATTTTTAAACAGTGGTATGTGTTACGTGTATGCATTAATCATACCATACTTAAAGAAGATGATTGCACTCAAAATCTAGGGGCTGGCAAGGTATCTCAGCTGAGCTGAGGTGCCTGCTTATCTGACCTCCACACATGTACAGTGGCAGGTATATGTGCACACAAATGCATCAGTTTTAAAAATTAAAAAGAGAAGTATCTTTCATCCAGAAATTTAAAGCACAAACTCCCACCCCCGCTTAACATGAAAACAGTCCTTGATGGAGATGGATAAACTCACTTTATGCTAGTCTTTACCAAAATGACTAATCTTTGGCAATGTGGCCTTGCCACTCTTTCCATCAAGGTAGGTGGGACAGAGGCCATGCTCCTGCCCCTGGAATCAAACACCATATCACAACAGGCAACCAAAGGGAAGGAGGACTTGGACCTCCACCTGAAAAGTCCACCCCACGCCCCACCAAAGCCAATGTTAACAGCTTCTGCAACTATCAGCTGAGGTCTAGCCTGCTGCCACCAACTGTCAATTACCTACTCGAGAGGCAGTCCAAAAAAGGTCTACCTCATTAAGCCTTCATAAAGCAAACAGCCCCAACTGACATCTGAACAGTCATGAGACTACATATGGTCCCTTTCCTAACTCAGAATGAGGTACCTGCTACAAGACAATTTGTTGACATTTTTCTATAGAGCAACAGTGACCAGAACAGGAGCTACCTTGGGAACAGTCTCTATCAAACTGGTTTTCTTTAAACATAAACACACACAAAAAACAAAACATTATCCAAAACACATACTGTTGGTTCTCAGTACCCAAAGACTCTGCTCTGTCAGGTTAAACCCACCGAGGATGGAACATATTCAGGGGAAATCACACCAGTATTGGACGTAATAGATACTTTTCATAATACTTTTCAAGTCATTGTTTTCTTACATAACATTTAAATGAACTGAGGCATTTCAAGTCATCTAGAGATGATTTTAAAGTATACTGGAAGATGTATGTAGGTTATATGCAAATAGTGTACCTCTTTGAATTCTAGAGTTAAGATTTTGGTATATGCAAGGGTTCTGACCAAATCCTCTGAATTACCAAAGGACTTTAAAACCTAGTGAGGGGCTGGCTGTGTCACCCAGTGGTAGACTGTAAGCTCAACATACACCATACCCAGAGTTCCAACCCCAGCACTTCCTTGACTGCCCAACCAACCCCCAAAACCCTTGAAGGAATAAAGAAGGAAATAATTTTATAGAAGGTGGTGAGTGGTGATTGTAAGAGTGAGCAAAGAGAGTATGAAAAAGCATAATCAAAAGATGAAAAATGTCTCCAGAAAAATGGTATTCTCCACTAACTGGGGAGCAAACGGAAGGAAAAAAAAAGCTTTGTTCTCCTAACATGTCCACTCTACTCCCACTTTGTTTTTAGGATTATTTTTATCTTGCTGGAACAAAAAGCAGAGTCCGATTTAGAAGAGGTGGGCAAGTTCAAGGAAGGACATGTTGTGGGTCTGTGGTTCAAAGGCAGTGTGCAGTCCACAGCTCAGCACAAAGGAAGACTCACCACATTCCTCTGGCCCTCTACCTTCCCAAACACAGACCCAGTCAGCACTCCAGCCCTGGGGGAGGGCCCCAGCGCCTTCTCACTGCCAGCGGCGGCGGTGGCGGTATTACAGCTGGTCTATGCTGCCAAGAGCGAGAGTGGCAGGCTAAGCTCAGCCTCAAGGGAGGTGAGTACGAGACAGAGCACAACCACATTTTATTTAAGTTCTTTTTTATTTTCCTCCACACTGGCAAAAGTTCCGAGGGAGCTTAAAGTTTTGTAAACATTTTAACTATCCCTCTTCCCCACCCCCCTCTTTTGAATTTACAAAGCAAAGGAGAATAGGAGCCTCACTTTTTAATGGTCCCCCATCTCCTTATGCTATTTGATCCAAAAACTATTTACAAGTTTGTAGCAGTCTCTGTATAGTTATTATACATGTTTAGGAGGGAGAGGCAAGAAGGGATAGGGAGAATGGTGATCCAAAATAATAAAAATAGAAAGCAAATACAACCCTCCAAAACCAAATTGCTCTCAGGGCAACTCCAGCCTTCTCCGGGCACCGATGAAGAAAGGGAAGGGACTTCACCTACAGCTGCCTGGCACAGCACCTCGTGCACAGGCACAGCAGGCCCACAGCTCCCATGAGGTATGCCTGACCATCCCAGGTGATGTTCTACATGCGTCTGGGGGAGGCCATCAGTTCTAAATAGAGCTTGAGTACATTTCTACTTGATGTGAATGGGTAGGAGCAGGCCTCTTCCTCCCCGTTCTTGCCCATGCCCTCCATCCCACTGCATCCTCCTGCATAGTGGTTTCCACGGATGAAGGTCTTAAAGATGGTCAGATTTTGTATGTTCTCTTTTCAGAAAAGGCAAACAACTTGCCATCCCAGAATCTTTACAAAAAACCTTTCAAGGCCACGGCTAAACACACACACACACACACACACACACACACACACACACACACAGTGCTCTGAGGAACAGATGAAATTCCCAGCTTTTATCAGAAGCAAAAGTTTATCCCTATCCGAGTTGAAGTTACACAAATTCATACATATGGTAAAGATGCCTCTTAAACGAGACAAATTTTCACAGAAGGGCCCAAAACAAACTGGTCCTAGTCCTTTGAAGTAAAAATATTTATGGGGAAAAATCAGTTTTTATATGAAAGGAAAATTACAAGTCCCTGTCCCAGGCCATAGGGTTTCCTTTGTCCAGTAAGGTTGGAGTATGTCAGGGGAGAACTCAGCTTGCTTGGAAAGTCACTAGCTAATGAAGAAAACATGAATCCTTTCTCCAGAAAGATATCCAGAAAGAATAAGTGAAGGATGTGCAACATCACACAGCCAGTCTACAATCCACCCGCTCAGGGCCTCTGATGCAGTCCCCAAGTTAGCAATGGCCATGTAACCTCTAGACAGGGTTCCGCCTGGCTCTGGCTATAGTGGAGTCACCGTCCAGGGGAGCATTTGTTGCTAGCCAATGTCAATTAACCATTAACTCTCTTCATGACTGCGCCAGTTTAGACCCTTTGCCTGTACTGGGGAGGAGGGGGGGAGAGAAAGAACAAAACAAACAAAAACAGTGACCAGAGAAAGGAGCCTGCTCTTGGCAGATTCCAACACACTTTCAGGAGACAGTAGATGAAATCAACGCACAGTCAATGTGTGCTGCCAATATCAGCCCTGCTGGTGAGCAATCCCAACTGCCACCCCCAAGACAAAGGGTCTGGTCCACTTAGGGACAGTCTGAGATGCTCACCAACAGTGGTTTAAAATAATCTTGGACACGAAAGGCTAGAAAAAAAAAGCCTGAGATGATTGGTTCTGTGATTTGTTGCAGAGTGACAGAGAGCAAATGGTGAATGCATGTTGTGTCCAACGAGGAGAATCCATGGTCATTAGGCAGGAGGGAAGGCTGGCACAGCGGCAGGTACTCAGCATCAGTACATCATCAGTAGTCATCCAGAGTCTCAATCTCACCCATGTTGAGTCGCTCTGATGACGCATTGACGGAAAACCCTACAAGGAAAAGGAGGTTTATGAGTGATTGCTCTGTCAAGTGGCTCACCATCGAGCAGCTGGCTGGGATTCAAGTCTCCTCTGCTTAAGACTGACACTGAACTGGGCACTGAAGAAAGACAAGAAAGAAAGGTAAGCAAGTAGAAAGAGGTCTCTGATCAGACTGGAACAGAATCCGCTTAGGAGAAGCATCACTGACAGTATTCACAAACCCTGTGACGCTGGAAGACCTAATGCTACTGGTCCCACGAAGGATCTTTTCCAATAGAATCCACAATCACAAGCTGATAAAAACTGTAGTGAACAGGCCTCTTGGGAGTGAGCGACTCCCAGAAAGCGTCCCAGTTCCTCTGCCCTAGATGAATCCTCAACTGTTTCAGCTGCTGTTTGAAAACCAAAAGCAAACAGACGACGCCCTCCGCTCCAACAAGGTTATTGGTGCTGGGTGGGTTTTCACACCTCCAGTTTTGTACTTCAGTATTCAAATTTTCAAATAAATACACATTTGAAATGCTCCAAAAACAAACATGAATGCCTGACATAATAAAATAGCTTAATTAACAGACTCAAAAATAAGATTTGAAAAAATAAGACTATTTATTAACTAAGAAGGCTACGGGACAGTGGCTGTCTGACAAGGCTGAGCACAGGGAGAAGCAAGGACACCAAATCCATCCAAAGTCCCAACCAGCAACTGCACCCACAACCCACCTGGCAAGGCCTTTTCCCCCTGGAAATACTGAAAGGCTTAGTGTTCACGTCTTTGAGGTAAAGGTTTGATTTGGTAAGTGTAAAAACCTAAAGACCAACAGTCTATGAAGTGAGTTGTTAACTCTATTCTGAAGCAGGTTTGTCTGATTTCATGTCAAGAACAAACGAAATGAGATAGAAACAATGAGCTCCATGCAACAGAAGAAGAAATTTAATTTTAAAATCAACTAATTTCAATCAAGACAGGAAAAGAAACCTGTGGAGAAATGAAGCTTATGTTATAATGTCCTGATTACCAGGGGAGGCTTTTTAGAAGACATGGTCTAACTTAACCGATTTAAAAGCTCAGTCAGGTATAAACTCAGACTCCCAACTTCACAGAAACAACAGCTTACGGGTGCCATGAACAGAAAGGGGGATTTACCCCCCCTGCTGCTCCACAGACCACTTTCTACTAGGTCTAGAATTCTCCCTCGCATGGCCTCTTTAGGATGGTGACACACTCTGTAGGAAAGGGAAGCCTGGCAGGGAGAACACTGCAGGTGTATTTTATCACCCCCAATGGTTTACACAGGCCACTTGGAAACAACCCTTCAAATCAGTACGACCAGAGTAAAGGACACTGGGAAGTGAAATGAGTCTGTGGCTCCCTCTGTTGGTTTGTTTCAGAATTAAAGTTCCCCTTCAATCTGCTCCTTCAATGGATTCTATTTTTCCAGTGCATGCATGGGAAAATTTTCTCAATCTGTAACTTTACAGGGAATATATACATTGAAAAGTAATCCATGAAAATGAATAAACATAGGAATTCCCAGGAAGAGGCTTAAGTAGGCAGTGATTCTCACATGAAAAGCTTGCTCATCCAAGTGAGTCCCCTCAGCACTTCACTGAGAGGTTCCTTGTCCTTCAGTGCTGGTCTTCCTTCCATCAGGACAATGGAGCCTTTAAGATCTAAGAGGACCTACCTATCTCCCATGCCCGTACTGAGGGATGAGTAAGTCCCTGTCTTCTGGGGTCTATGGCAGAAGACCAAAAGCATGCTGTAGAGGACAAACATGCACAGCTGGGCCACATCTGTAGAGCAATCTCTCATCCTATAAGCTAAATCCCAAGGGTTTCTTAGCCAGAGCTACAGTTAGAAACCTGTTCACCTATTTCTGTCAGAATTTTACACTTTTCAACCCATGTTTGATATTAACACCCTAAAGAAGAACTCTATGACAGCCAAGTATATTAACTTCATATTCAAAAATAGAAAATAACTTCATTTTCATCACTACTTGTGGGGTTGTTAGGCCAATTTAAGAAACACAGCAACTTATATTCATTATTTATGAACTACCAATCCCCACCCTTCCCACTAGTCTTTTAAAGCCCTAATTTTAGGAGTCTGCTTTTCTAGGAAGCTGCTTTGTAAGGACAACAGCCCTCAGTAGCAGAGAAGGAGGTGTCCACAGAAGCGCGGAGGAGACCCGGGGCCCCAGCTCACTGGCCAGGAGACCCGGGGCCCCAGCTCACTGGCCAGGAGAACCGGGGCCCCAGCTCACTGGCCAGGAGAACCGGGGCCCCAGCTCACTGGCCAGGAGACCCGGGGCCCCAGCTCACTGGCCAGGAGAACCGGGGCCCCAGCTCACTGGCCAGGAGAACCGGGTGTCCCAGCAGTGCAGTCACCTAGTACCCGGAAGTGGATGCAACAAACAAGCGCTGCTGCTTCCGGTACAAACCAGCCACAGCACCTCTCAACCAGCACTCCTGTCATCACAATCGTTAGCTTATGAGATGCTCAGCAATGCTTTCACGTCTGAAGGACTGTAACACTCTTGGTTCGCTTGTTCCAGCACAGGAGGCACATCTCCTGTACCTACATGCCCAGGAAATAGTTACTGGCTACTTCTCTTAAGGCCAGTAAGTAAAAAGAATCTTTACCTGAAAGACTGTAGTGGTGTGTCTGGCTACTGGCATCCCCCAAACCTTCCTCCCACCCAGGCTGAGACTCTAGGCCTATTCTCACCTAATAAACTGGGATCTGCTCGAACCATCTTCTGCTTTTTCTTCTTTTTGCCACTTTGAACAGCCTCAAAACTGGATTGTTGGTTGTTGCTTTGATTGGTCTGAAATACCGAATGGAGTGTACTATGGTTCATGCCCCAAACAGAGTCCTGTGACACAAGAAACAAACAGCACAATTACAATTACACAGTACATATGGATGTGGACTGCTCTAAGAGAATGGCTGGCTTGCCTTTGCCTTATCAAGTGTGAGTCTGTAAACAAAAATCCTGGTGAGATAGCTCACAGGGCAAAAATGCTTGCCACAAAAGTCTGATGGCCTGAGTTCACCCCGGAACCTGGTGGAAGGAGAGAACCAATTCTCAAAGCACCTCTTACTTCCACCTGTCCATCACGGTACATATGCATGTGTGTGTGTTTGTGTGTGTGCGCGCAAACAAACAAAGCCAGGCTGGAGAGACGGCTCAGCAGTTAAGAGTGCACACTGTTCCTGTAAAGGACCTGGGACTGATTCCTGTCAGCAATGTCAGACAGCTTACAACTGCTTGTAACTCCAACTCCAGGGGTATCTCATGCTTTGACCTGCATTCATGTGCACATACTCACTGACACACAGAAATCCATAATTTAAAGTTATTTTAAAAATAAATCTTAAGAAAAAAAAAAGCCCAAACCAATACTGGCAATACAGAAACTGAGAGACAGCCATACTTCAACATTTCATTTCAACACTCCACTTGATGCCTGATATCTCTACAAAGTCCCTCCAGGAACCCCAGGCTTTCACTCAGGCTATACCAGAATGGCTGGCCTAAGTTTTCTAGCAGATACAGTGTCTGTGTCAGCCATTGAGAAATGCAATACACAGCATCTGACCTCAACAGGTCTCAACACTATGACAATACATGCACCTGACTGACTCACAGCACAAAGTATCTTTGTTCTCTAGTATACAGGTCAGAGGACAAGGTAAGAACCAGCTGGCAGTGTACCACTAAAGGCTAAAGTCATGCACGTTATTCATACTAGCAATCCCAGAAGGGATTTGTTACCAAAATGTTGCCTCTATACTTGCTGAGAGCTGCTGGTTGCATGGCTTTTCCAAAGGCTGTGGGAGTATACAGCAGGTGACAACTAGTATTAAACAGGTCAACCCACCAGACAAATAACTCTCTGATGGAGAGCCCCACATGGCAAAGCCGTGGCGTCACTGACTGTAAATGACTGGTTGCTTCCGTCTGTAGTTTTTCTCATGTGCCACTACACTTCTTTCCTAAAAACTGCTATGGGTATTTCCCTACTGCTAGTGTGTTTATCTCAGGTATATATTCCATCTATTGGGCACACTTGTAGCTATGGATGGTCAGGAAGATGATTTCTGCTTAAACTGTATAATTTTGATGAATAGAAATAATACTAGGATATTTTTCATAACTGACATAGTAAAGTAACAGTATTCTCAGTCACAAAGACAGCTAATTTTAGACTTCAGAACAAATTCAAACAGACTAGCTGACCCTGCAGAGAATACACAAGGACAAGTTCCCAGGTGTTTATTGCTGAATAAAGGTCAGACTTGATCAACTTTGGTAGACATAACCCCCTGCAGTAATTCTCTTTCTGCACGTACCCTTACAACTCAAGGTTCAGCTAACCAACTGTTACTGGACCAATTGTTAAGTCCTGGATTTCAATGCCACTTTCTGTCTGGGAACTTTGACCACTCAAGAACTACATGTTACTTTACTCACCACACCCATCAACACAGCCTCCCTAGCCTGAGAGAAACTGTGTGATTTATGTGTTATGAGAATGGGTTGGACTCTGAAAATGTAACATATAATTGTCTATACAGTTTGGCTGCTGAGGTGCGTGTGTGCGTGTATACACACACATGCGGTGAAAGAAGGATGAAGCTGAATGCAGAGCTGAGAGATGTATGTTGAAGGAGAAATGAGAAAGAAGTGTAAAAAGATGTAGCTGAATGGAGGAAAAACTGTAGAGAGATGCAGAGAATGTAACTGTATGGAGAATGTGTGGAGATTTGTCATCGTGTGGAGACAAGGAAAATGAAGCTGTATAAAAGAGAGATACACTGTATATAGAGATATATGACTGCAGACAGAGACGTATGTAAAGAGAGATATATAGCTGTATGTAAAGAATGCAACTATGTGGAGACAGATTTTCAGAGATGATTTTTTAAAATGAAGTAAAGGAGAAACTTACCATCAGAGTGTTTCCTTACTTACCCTTCAGATAGATAAGAATTTTTCCTAAGCCTTTGCTACTCTGAGGCATTCTTTTGGCTACCCTGGTTGCAGTTCTGGGAGCTGGCCTCCCAGGCTGCGTTACATACTTCTGCCGACTGGTTAGAATATAAAACAGTACACTAATCCTTTGTTCTTACTGTTGCCTTTACTAGAGAAACTTACTTCAGAAGCCAGTTCAAAGATCAGGTGGTAGCCCTGAGGGTGGAGTACAGAGAGCATTGTGGAAGAGCATGCCTAGGTCCACGGGCACATATGATAGGGGGCATTTCCTTGCTGTTTTAGCCCAGGAGACCACCCCACAGGGGCAGTGTTTCCCACACTACTTCACACTACATGCTCCTGCAATGCCCTGAGACATCTGCTCTACTGTGCTCTGGTATGGACACCTGCCATGCCTTCTTAATTTACCTCTGCTTTACAGAGTTAGATCTCAAATACTTTATGCTACAATGTATCTTCCACATCTCCAGAAGTGATCTATAACAGTTATCATCTCTAGTAGAATATGAGTATTTTTATGCCTCTTTATGAACACTGCCAACTTGTCTTTCAGAAAATGTTAACTATCAATCCTCAAAGACTCTATATTTGTAAATTTCAATGAATTGTTAAGTGTATTTTTGTTTTGTTTTGTTTTTTATGGTCATTCTGAGCACACATATGCTCAGAGAGGTAAAACCATCTTTAACAACCAAGGCATATGCTTTCAACTAAAGAGGGACAAGGGATCATCCACCTTCTTACTTTGGTTCACAGGTGTTAGTCAGGCAGGTGTTTTCTCTGGTTAGTCATCTCTGTGTTTTTTGAGAGTGAGTTCACTACTGCAGTGCTCAGGTGCCATCAGATGCTCCTGAGCACAGAAGACTGCACATCTTGGGGAGAAGATGTGCAGGTGAGTTCTGTACGAGTGACAAGGACAGCTGCACTGGAGAGGATCAATGTTAATCAATCAACATATAAAGAATGCCTCTAAACAAAATCTGAAGACAAAATTATTTACTCACTAGATGCTGTAAATGAGAGGCTCACAGAACTCAACATAGCCTCATCAGGAGAGGTGATGACTTTATCCTCAATTTCCTAGTCACTCAAACCTGGTTCTCAACCTGTAGGTCACAACCCCTTTGGGGGGGACTGTCAAACGACCCTTTCACTGGAGTTGCCGATCAGATATTTACATTACGATTCACAGCAGAAGCAAAATTACAGTTGTGAAGTAGTAACAAAAATAGTTTGATGGTTGGGGTGACCACGACCTGAGGAACTGTATTGAGGGCGGCAGCATACTGTCATAGACCAGAGCTGCACAAAGAGCAAATGACAACTCAATCTTCACACCCCCTTCAACGGCATGTGAAATACCTGTCATCAACAGCATGTGAAATATCCCATAGAGTAAAACTGTGGAATACAGGAGATGCCAAGTTTTAAAAACAGATTTTATGGGTCATGCTGGGATCTACAGTCTGAAGAAAACATATATATGAATCAGGAAAACAGACCAGGATACCTCGGACACTCTGTCTGGGACATTTACAGACAAGCACTTAGAAAAGATGAAGACCATACAACTTTTGAAAAGTTTTGGTCACGGATGCATAAAAATGAAATATTCCTTTTAATTTCTCTGGCTACTCAACATTTATAGGCCTTCCTATTCACATATACCGCACATACTGTGTCACTTTATACCTGCTGCTGCTGCTGCTGCTGCTGCTGCTGCTGCTGTTGCTGCTGCTGCTGCTGACGCTGTTGGTTGGCTTTCTGTTTGGCACGGCGCTCAAGGAACTGCTTGGCAAACTCCTTGGCCTCAGAGGTATCTCCTAAATAGGCCCTGATATAGTCGTGGACTTCATAAGGAGATTCCACTTCTTTCAAGAAAGAAACAAACGTGGGAACTGCAACACAAGAGGGAGAGGACCTAAGACAGTAACAATGAAATAAACACGCGCACAAAGAACAGACCTCAAGTTTCAGCATATCACACACTAACACAGGTGTCAACAGAAACGTGAAAGCTATGCAGCTTCTGTGGTAGACACTCGAATCTGCCGAACACAGACCAAAGAGGCTCATCACAGTGCTGAACTTATCCAAAACAGCAGTGTCAGACAGACACACCACATATGCCGAGCTTCACTGAAGTTACTTCTTTCCTTTAATTCAATTTATTAAGTGCTGTGATAGACACCAGCTACCATGACAGTTATTAAAGATACAGATATATCATCTGGAACTTGTAATTAACTAGGGTATTATGTGTTTTAGAGAGCATCAAGTGGAAAATGCAAATTGTGTGGTTTCAGGGGAGAAAAAAAAAAAGGCACAAACACCAGAGTTAGACAGGCATGGGTTTAAAATTCGATTCTGAAGCTTGCTGGCTGTGTGACCTTGATGAATTACTTAACCATTCTGAGCCTCTGTTTCCTAATTTATAAAATGGGGATAATACCACCTACCTTGTAAAGGCATCTTCAAAATTTACTGAAAAAAAAAAAAAAAAGAGTAACTGGGATAACACTGTGCTAGCCCAGCTAGTGCCCAGCACATGGTAGGTGCTTAATGGATGGCAGCCATGACTCCTATGACATCTACTTCCTCTGAAGGCCTTCCGACTCTTAGCTAACATTACAGTGCTGCAAAAGAGCCTGCCCAGTTCTTGACTGTGCAGGGTCAGACGGCTGGCGTTAGGCCAGCGATCACCCTGGTCTATAGCTAAGGCAATCCCTTCTACAGTCTGATCAGCAGTCGCTGTTGGCTATCAAGGGGGGGAAGGGGATTCACTTCCATCTAAGGAGCGAGCTCTCTGTAAATGGCTTGTTTACAACCATGCTTTTCTGAAATTGTGCTGAAACCTTTACTTCTGCACAGTCTCAGCCATTACAAAGCAGGTCTACTTACTCTATCACAATTTCCATCACCTCCCAAAGCAGAAAGGGAACAATGTCATTTGGCTTTGGTACTCTACTGGCCAGGCTAACCTTGCTCCTCACTATGACATTTAACTTTTTCTTAGACATGATAACGTAGCTGGGAAATGTTTTCCATAAAAAGGGTAATGAAAAACTATGATTTCCTTTGTCCTGTACATCATTAAGGCAGCCTGAGCTGGCATTTAATTTTTGGGACTGCTCATAATCTATTTGAGCATAGTTTTACAGGACTTTTTTCGTAAGTAATACTATGGGAGTCAAGTTTTTAATGGAAGGTGTGGGACTTGGCCCCCATAGATTTCATCTTCTATATTTTGGCTCACTGTTCCAACCTGCCAACCTCTTTGTAGGTCCTGCTCTGTCAATCCACATGCTGGGATTCCCTCCCCAATTCTTACCATCCAAGTTATTTGCCGTATTAAGGGCATGAAGCATCTGTTCACACCACTGGGTAAATCCATCTTGGGCTTTATTTACTCCCTGAAAGAGCTTCAGCAACTTTTCTTCTTCTTCTACTTTCTTATTCTGCCGGTTAGACACACCTACAGATTTACTAAAGCAAAACAATAGGGCGATATTATATTCCCAGAAACTGTTACTATGTGATTATACTACAATACCATAAATACTGTCTAGGCAACACCGGATAGCTGCCCAGTAAGCCAATTCTTAGTTCTATACAAGAAAAAAAAATTCAAGTATTTTGATGGACACTTCCTTAAAAACTAGTCTCAGCTAACACCCTAGTTTGTAGGACTTCTCTTGTGAGAAAATGATGAAATTCTTCCTACATGTTCTTAGGTAAGCTGTTCAATTTACTAAGCCTCAGTTTCCTCATATGCAAAATGGTGCCGACACTTCTTTGGATTAGAGTAAGGAATGAAGACAATCTCAGAAAGGCCTGGAGCAGAACAGTGCCTGGCAAAGAAGCTCAATAAGTGAATGTGTTTCCTTTCTTGAAGTCTTCAACCAGAAAGACTCTGACCACACTACCATTTATTAAGTACTTACTATATGCCAGGCACATATTTACCATTTCATGTGTACTTGTTTACTCCTTACAACTACACTCATGAAGTTATTATCTTCATTTTACCGATGAGGGAACTGAGGCCCAAAAGAGGTTCTCTGTGGCCAAGGTCACACAGCTACGAAGTGGTAGTGCTGGGATCTGAGTTCATGAATGTAACAACAAACCCATGCTCATTCAACAACACTGGCTACTGAGGAAAGAAAGATGAAGATGAAATAGAGCTAATTGGTTATATAGGAAGTTTAAGGCCATTACAGAAGGTCTTTTGGAATGCTCGTTCTAGTATACACATTGTTTAAAAATACAAATTAACAAAATACTCTAAGTTACCTAGAGAAAACATTGGAGAAACGTCAACAACAAAAATATTCTATTCTTATGATTATCAGGCAGTCACCATGGAGCAGGCAAAGGGTTAAGTGCTCAGCAGTAGGACAAGCCCAAGGAGTAATCAAGTATGCTTCACTAGGTAGAGAGCAATCGTCACAATTGTGACTCACATGCTTGGGCACAGATGAAACTATAAATAAACACTGTATCGAACATCCCTTCCACTGCCCTTACCTCCCGCCAATCAAGGTACACAGGTGTAATCATTACGAGCCCCTACCTGAGACTGGCGTTGTTTTTATTTTTATTTGTTGAATTTCTAGGTCCCACCTCTTTCACTGCATCATCCCAAAACCCCATGTTGGAGTTTTTAGTGTCTGCATTACTCCAGATACTACTGACTAGATCAGACGCCCACTGGTTAGGAGGACCTGTGTTTATAGAGCCCCATACAGAATTCCCAATGCTGGTGTGCAGGTTGGAATGCTGTTAAAAAGACAAAAAAGACTTTGGTTAACAACATTAAAAAGACAGTTTAAAAAGCTTGAAGAGATAAACAAAAAGCAGCGCCCATGACTGCATTCAGGAAAAGGAACTCACTGTGCTGTTCCGGGCTCTGTTTGTTTGCTGGTGCTGCTGTTGCTGCTGCTGTTGCTGCTGCTGCATCTGCCTGGCCTCTTCCTGCTGGATCTCCAGAAGAGACTTGGTGGTACCTGGAGGTTTGCTGACATTCCCCCAACCTGAGAGCTTCTGCTGCTGCTGCTGTTGCTGCTGCTGCTGGAGAGCTTTCATCAATTCCCTCTGCTGACGCCTTTGCTGTTGGATAAGGACAGCCAACTCAGGATTTGTTTTTCATTAGTTACAAGCACCAGGCCACTACAGGATATAATACACCACAGCTAAACAAAACCCAATGGGGTTAATTCTTTTGACTAAATTAAGATGGAAATTGTAAGTGGTACTGAGAGGGAAATCAAGAGACTAAACACAGAATTACTTCTTACAAATGATGAAGTCTTTTTGGTTAAGGACAGAAATGAAATAAATGTTTAGTTCCCAAAGTACCACCAAAATGAAAGGATCAACTTATTGAGGGTTTATTTGTGTGTGGCTCTGACATGGGGTTTCAGTATACAGAGCCCAATTAGGTCTAAAACTCAAGGCCTCCCTCCACAGCTTCCCAAGACAGAGACTGCAGGTGTTCACCACATGCTCAGCTACATACACTTCTTTAAAAGCATAAACCAGTAAAGGACAACAAAGGCAGAAATGACTTTTAAACACAGAAAGTAGGGCTAGGGAAGAGAGCTAAGTCAGTGAAGCGTTTGCTCTGCAAACCTGAGGACGCTGAGCTCAGTCCCTGAACCCCAGGTGAGAAAGCCAAGGCGGCAGACAGCCACCATCTCAGCACGGCGGAGGTGGAGAGTCCAGCGTACTTGGTAAGTTGCAGGCTGTGAGATACTCTATCTCCAAAAACAAAATAAAAACCAAAAAAGCAAACAAAGCACCTGATCTGATGGTGTCCTTTGATCTTTCCGTGCATATGTACACAAACAAAAATAAATATCTGGATATAAAGATTAATAATCTGGAAGGCAGATTATTAGTTACCAGAGTAGCACAACTGAAAAACTAAGTGAAGGAAGCTCAGGGACCGTAGGTGCTTACATGCATCTCAGGAAGGCTGGCTAAAGACAGAGGCACTTAGACCCTGAACTGCCTCCTTTGCCCTGTTCAGTTGAACAACTGTCTTTCATCCAAGCAGAAAACAAGTTTTCCACCTGGAAAGACCAACACAGATGAATAGACTGTTCTATAGTAAACTGATCAGCAGTGACTACTGAGTGAACACCAACAGGTAAGAGGCACGCTCCACAACAAAGCAGCCCGGAGAATAACGACTAGCACCAAAGGAGCACCTAGAGTAGAGCCTTTGATGAGCTTCTGAGACCCTTAACAAATAGCCCAGAATTGCTAAACATTTAGCATATGCTTCCGAGATAAAAGCCAGGCACCAAAATAAATACAGAAAATAAAAGAAATAAAAATTTAAAAAACACACAAGAAAAAATAGGGTTTCTTTGTATAGCCTTGCCTGTCCTGGAACTCACTCTATAGACCAGGCTGCCTCAAACTCAAGAGATCTGCCTGTCTCTGCCTCCAGAGTGCTAGAATTAAAGGTGTGTGACACCACTGCTCAGCTAGGAATTGTCTTCTAAAAATTTAATTAACACGTGTGAATATTTTTCCTGCATGTATGTAGCACCTGAAGGGGCCTAGATCCCCTGGAACTGGAGTTACAGGTGGTTGGGAGCTTCCATGTGGGGGCTGGGAACTGAACCTGGGGCCTCTACAAGAGCAGCAAGCGCTCTTAACTGTTGAGTATCTCTCTAGCTCTGAACTGTTTTTTGTTTAGTTTTGTTTTAAGCTATCAGCAAATAACATCCCTACAGCAGCAGTTCTCAACATGTAGGTCTCAACCGCCTTGAGGGTTGGTTGTTTGACACAAACAACCTTTCCACAGGGGTTGCATATCAGATAGCCTGCACATCAGGTATTTATTTACATCACGATCCATAACAGTAGCAAAACTATAGTTATAAAGTAGCAACAAAAATAATTTTATGGTTAGAGGATCACCACAACACGAGGAACTGTATTAAAGGGTCGAAACATTAGGAAGGTTGAGAACCACTGCCCTAGAGAGTTAATGGTGCAATCACTAAAATAAGAATAGAAGGCTATATACTACAAAACCCAAAGAACTCAGAAATTTAAAACAAGATAGTATAAGCTAAAGTTCAACAGAAGAACTAAAAGAGAAAACTGAGGAAACGTGTCCACCCATAATGATACAAAGAAAGATGGAAAGAGGAGAAATCAACATCTATCTAGGGCAATCATGCAACTGACAGGAACTGCAGGAAAAAAGATCAAGAGCTGCACAACACCGAGCATGTCCAAACTGAACAGGTTAGAGTCCCAGGCAGGGCACTCCAGGAAAGACAAAACAAGTAACATTATCTTGGGTTTCTCCATATGACAAACAAGCAAAGAACAGCGTTTCATGGTCTGTGAGGTACAGGGAGAATAAAAGGCTCCAAGAACATGAATCAAACGAACACAAAGTGAGATACTAACTTTTGGGAAGCGGGGCTGGGGGCAAAAAGAGTCTGGCTGGGCTGTAGCTCAGCAACAGGATGCCTTCTTAGTATGCACAGGGAGGGGCCTAGAGGGACTCTTGATTCTTGTTCACAGTCACTTTTCACTGAACAGAGACTAAAATCATTCTAGTTCCTAGCTTTGAAAACAAATACTCTGCTCTGAGACACCTATTTGATAACCTTTTGGAAAAAGGTGATCCCAGGAACAAAGTTTAATCTTTTGTTTTTACACTAAAGTGAGAAAGCAATTTTAAGGTAGAGAAATGCTTTAACCTACTGGATGTCGACTATTTAGAATATACATATGTTCCAAATATGTATATAATTATAGATAGATGATGGGAAGAGTACACACTGCACACACACACACACCTCCCATCTCTCTCAGTGTACCTGCAGCTGCCTGGCTCAGTGATTGGCACAATCCACAAACACGACCACTTGCATTCTCCAACACACTACCTGTTCTGTCTCACGTGCTCTTCAGGACGGCCACACCACCTCATCTGTCTAAAGGCCTTCACAGGGCGTACCACTTAAGCATGGACAATCTACAGTTCCATCCCTACCCACCCACAACTCCCATGCCCTCTCCCCTTTCCTTCCTGCTAGCAATTCTCTTTCTCTGACACTTCCCACCCTCTAAAGCACCATTGAGTTCACTTAATTTTTGTGGCCCATCTTGCCTTAGCTAGGGGGCAGAGCATTTCATCAGTTTAATACCCGGCTGCACTTCCAGACTATGAATGAGTAAACAGGTGTTGAATCAATCAACGAACAAGACAACTAACAGCAGCCCTTGTGAATTAATCATCTTCTCTCTATCACAAACTCCCCTCTCCAAATTCTTCCCACTGTGCTGTACCCTTCCTATCCTATAATGAACTTCATGATAGAGAGTTAACAGTGGAGTTGTTATTTTTGTCATATTACAAGTTTTTTCTGGGCTACTCAGAAGACCCAATGTCCTTAACAGAAGAATGTGTCCTGCATTCAAAATGACAAATTCACAAGTGGATGTGTGATGGTTAGTGTTAATTGTCAACTTGACATGATCTAATACCAAACTGACAATCAGTCTCTGGGTTGCGGGAGATTATCTTGATTTCCGTAACTAGAACCACGGGCTGTACAATGGACTGAAGGAACGGAGCGTTAGCATGTGCACATCCCCATCTCCTGACTGTGGATGCAATGTGACCAGCTACTTCAAGGGCCTGCTGCCTTGACTTCCCTTTCTCCATTAAGTTATTTCTGTTAAGGGTGGTTTAACATGAAAACAGAAAAAGGAATTAAGACAGGGTGGGCAAAACTTACGCACAATTCTCAACGAACTCTACTTTTCAAATAGTATTTTTCATTGTTCTTTGAGAACATCATACACACATATAATGTGTTTTGGTGATGTCTGCCTCCCACCACCCATGACCTCTCTCTGAGTTTATGATTAGTGCTGTCTGTACGTGCACAGGTGTAAGGCTATTACTTTTATTTATGAATTCAATAAAAGCTGAAAAGCTACCGTAGAAAGTTCCAGAAAACAATCATGTTACCCGATCTTAATTGTTATTCCTATTAAATCCTTCATTTATACCAAAGGGTCCAAATCGCAGACTGCAGGGTTTGGGAACAACGGGTCAAGTTCAGGCACACCGCACTCCTGACAGTACCCATCATCAAGAGCGAGCCATCAGCCCGCAGTGCACACTGAGCTAGCTGCCTGGAGTACTGGACCAGGCCGCCCGCTCTTCCCGTTCACCTCTTCTCGGAGCTGCCGCTCTCGTTCTTCTTCCAGCTTCTGGATCTCAGCCAACGACAGCGTGGCCTGGGACTGACACGTTGTTGTGTTAGACTGCTGACCCCACGTTGAAGAAGAAGGAAGCTAAAAACAACAACACACACATGACAGAATGGGAAAGCGTCAGCAAACAAGGAAGAATAACATCATTTATGGTCAGAGCCTCCATTTTTCCTCACCTTTACAATATTCATTTAAAAATTCTTTTTTCCACACTATTCTCTCAGTTGGCTTGCTTCTTTTGCTCATTTCTCCCAGCCTATGTTTATTTTAAAACAACTAAAAATACACACATGTATAATGCTTGCTCTCCATTTTGGGTGGAAATCTGTTACATCAAGCATCGACACAATTAGTAATACAGAGTCAAAATCAAAAGGAGTTAACAAGGAGTGACTAAATACAGTTTAAGATTTTTAATCTGCTGGGCAGTGGTGGCGAACACCTTTAATCCCAGCACTTGGGAGGCAGAGGCAGGCGGATCTCTGTGAGTTCAAGGCCAGCCTGGTGTACAGTGTCCTAGGACAGACAAGGCTACACACAGACCATGTCTCAAGAAAAAAAAAAAAAAAAAAAAAAAAAAAACCGAAACAACAAGATTTTTAATCCATAAAGGCCACAAAGGACATGGTTTAGGACCTAGAGAGTTAATTAAAAGCCGAGGATCTCTAAGCAGAGGTAGACAGCGAATGAAGGGGCCAGGCAGTCTTCATCCCGTCCTGCTAACAACCAGGCTACTCTGTAGCCCTAGTCCTAGCTCTAGTCATGAAAACTAAGCTGGTCTGGGGGAAGAGAGGGAATCAACAATCTACTTTATCTATCCTTTATATTAATGAGCAAAATAGAATACACACATGTGGTCCTGAAAACCTGAGTGTTCAAAGCCTGGTTTTCTAAAGAGAATTCTTTGCTCTTCTTTTTAAATTAATTAAATTATAATTTCAAATCATTTTAAAGGTCTTTGGACAAACTTTACATGGCTCTGCTACCAACTCTTGGTTGGCTCAACAAGAGACTCAGCTTCTGAACATTCTTCTTTTTCAGTAAAACACAGGTTATCAATATCTAAGCTTTGTGAGAAAACACTCTGAAGAAGTGGTATGACATATGGAAATTGTTGGTATGGTACCTAAGAACTGAAGTACAATAATTAATGGTACTGCCAACTCTTCCTTCCCAATCTTCCAAACCAAACAGGCTTCAGTTAGGACTTCTGCTGTCCCTTGTCTGATTGTTCATCTGCCTAACCACAGTTCTGTTTCCTTCAGGTTCATCTTCCATTTAGCTCTCCCACAAACCCCAGAGTGCTATCCCATGTTCTACAAACCTTAAGTTCTAATCCTTTACAGAGTGTATCCAGTAAGGACATTAGGGACCCTGTCCATACTCATCTCATTCCTCAGTCTGGACAAGCTTTTAAATTTACTTTTTAAAGATTTATCTAAGAAGGCTGAAGAGATGGCTTACTAGGTGCTTTTTCAGAGGACCTGGGTTCAATTCCCAGCACCCACATGGCAGCTCACAACTGTCTATACCTCCTGTTCCAGGGGATCCGACATCCTTACACAGACATATATGAAGGCAAAACACCAATGTACATAAAATAAAAATAAATTTTTATAGATATATTTTTTTAAATTATGTATATGTGTGTGTGGCTATGTGTGGGTTGTGTGCACGTGAGTACAGGCACTAGCAGAGGCCGGACAAAGGCACAGGATTCTCTGGAGTTGGAGTTAATAAATGCCTGGGAGCCATGTAATGTGGTCAATGGGAATCCTCTGGAAAAGTAACTAGCAAGCACTCAATCCCCGAGCCATCTCTCCAGCTTTCAATATTTCCACTTCAGATTCTGGAGTGTCTCTAACCTTCAAGCCTTGCTCACTGCAATGCCTCTCTCATAAACCTCACCTGCAAAACAAACTATTCAACATGAAAGTTCTTTCTATCCCCATAAAGACTGTTTGGAAGCTGACTTATCTCAGGAAGTAGCCTGGAGGGATGGTGACTCCTATTTTACCAATATCAGAGTCCCTTGAAGAGTTTATTTAAACCCAAGCTTGCATGTCTTACAGATCCAGGTGACATCCCTAGAACTACCGTCTTACTAATGGCACCTCCTCTTCTCTGCTCTACACTGGATCCCAAGTCCCTTCCACATCTGAGCTTGGGAGTTCCTTGAAGACAAAGGAGACTAAACTTAACTTCTGGTTCAACATGAAGCTTGTAGAGCATCCTACCAAGCTCCTCTTAACCTTTCCATCTACTTGATTCCATGAGCAGTCCACATCCCGTGCTCTGCCACATCCCAGCTTCTACCTGTGATCTTCAGATCTGGGCAAACAACAGATTCAGGCTTGCCGCCCACTGTACCAAAGCAGTTCTTTCCCACTGGCCCTGCCTATTCATCCTCACCACCACCACACCCTTTTTAGCAGACTCTTAGTATTAATTTTCAACTTCAAACAGTATTTTGAATCTTCCACCTCCATACACTCTAAAAAAAAAAGGGGGGGGCGGGGAATGGGTTGTGAAGCCCTAGCTGGCCTAGAACTTGCTAATAAGCCATGATGACCTAACTAAAGAGATCTGCCTGCCTCTGTCACCGGAGTTCTGGGATTAAAGGTTTGTGTCTCCATCTTTGGCCTGTCTTCAACCAATTTTTAATAAGATTCCAAAGGCAGCTGTGCTGTGGGTCCCCCTCAGAAAGCAGAATGCTGTCATGCCTGCTGCCCTCGCAGGGTGTGGAGCACTTTCTTCTCTCTGATCTTCCTGTCAGCAGTGCCGACACTGTAAAGAGGAGGCACGTCAATTGTCATGGAACCCCACTCAAAAACACCACGCAGACTGACCATTGTGCCTGTGGCCCTGCGTGTCCTATCCTTATCATGTGTGTGCCTTTCATTTCAACAATGATACACACACACACACACACACACACACACACACACACACACACACACACACACACACACACACGCCGACTCAATGAACCAGACAGCCAACACGATATTTAACACAAGTGGCTCCCCACGTGTCTAGGATTCTACCTTCATCTGGGCAAGCTGCTGCTGCTGCTGCTGCTGCTGTAACCTGCGGAGAGCCTCTTGCTGCTGCTGCCTCTGGCGCAGCAGCTCCTTCTGCCGCTGCAGCTCCAGCTCCTTCCGTTTTCGTTCCTCCTCCTCGTGCCGAAGTCTGGCTGCCTCCTCCTCCATGCGCAGCCGGTTCTCTTCCAGTCGACGCTGGGCTTCCTCTTCTTCCCGGGCCCATTTGGCAGCCTCCTCTTCCTTCCCAGAAGGAAAAATTAGAGAGAAAAACAATTTTTTATGAATTGTAGAGGGGATAATCCATACTGCTATTAAAGGCTTCAATCATGATAGTATACAGAAATGATAAAGGCAAAGCCCTGCTTAGGATGACATTAGGGAGAAGCAGGTTTTACAGGGGTCACAGAGGTCTAGTGTGCTCCAGGATCCAACTTGAACAGACTGTAGAACTGTCACTTAGGCCTGTGTCAAAGTGCTGATCTCAAAAGGAGCTTACCACCTGCTGCAACGAAGTCTCCTGGAAATGTCACTTCAGTACTACAGGCTGAGCAAGCTTTCCAGAGTGCTTCACAAGAAGCCATTAAGATCTGGCAAGAACAATAGTTGTAACGAGACTCATCCAGACCTGGAACCAAAGTGACTCCCCAAACTCACTAAATTCCACTGTATGACCCCCCCAGGCCCTAGGGTCTTTGGAAAACCTCTCTCCCCAGTTCAGTCTTTACCTTCCACTACTTCCCCTTCCCTGCACCCACTTCCCTGCGGCTCACTGTGTCCTCTGGCTCACCGCTCAGTGCTCAGCGTGCCCTCACCTGTGCAGTTGGGACGCCACACCAGCAATGCTCTATCTTGTCCAATCACACTCTGTCCTAAGCTGAGGTTGGCTGTGAACCTCCGAGAGGTAGATTTCCTCTCTATCTTTTCTTTCAAAGATTCCTCCGCATTCATATTAACCATCCCCCTCCCCAGCAAGAAGGACATGTTCCTAAATCTGCTACAAATAAAACCTGTTTCAACCTAACAAGCAACCATTCCTTTCGGCCATCTTTCTTGAAAATAATACTGTATGCCATCTCAAGAGACTTAAAAATTTTGTTTTAAAGCTTCCAAATGTAACTAGGAACAGTCATGATTTATTTAGGACTAGGAGACATCTGCTTTGAGAATTCTATGAAAGACACCCTTTTTACAGTTTCTTTAAAAAAAAAATTATTGATTTATTATGTATACAGTATTCTGCCTGCATGTATCTCTGCAGGCCAGAAGAGGGCACCAGATCTCATTACAGATGGTTGTGAGCCACCATGTGGTTGCTGGGAATTGAATTCAGGACCTCTGGAAGAGCAGTCAGTGCTCTTAACCACTGAACAATCTCTCCAGCCTGAAAGACACCCTTTCTAAACAAACAAACAAAAAATAATAGAGAAAAGTCACTCCTTCATTAGACAAGGTTATACAAGAGTCACAACCTGAGGTAAAGAATCCAAAAGCAGAAATCAACCCTCCAAGAGCTAGTATAAAAGGGTATGCAAATGATGTGAATCCCGACAGCATCACTGAGTTAAGGCTAAAGATATTACAGTCAGAGCAAATGATGTGAATCCCGACAGCATCACTGAGTTAAGGCTAAAGATATTACAGTCAGATCTCCTTGGCATGTGAGGTAAGCATGACATATATTGTTTGAGCCACTTTAAGGTGGCTATTTCAGTTTTTGTACTTTAACATATACTAACTCTGGCATTTACTTCAACACCCACAGATCCTGTGAGCTGCTGAAGACTGAACCATTTCCTAAATTCTTCTATTAATATTTGCTGGGTATGGTGGCACACACCTGTAATCCAAGCACTTGGGAGGCTGAGTCAAATAGATCTCAAGTTCCAGGCCAGACTAGACTACACAGTGACAGACACCTTGCCTCAAAACCTCACGACCTCCCAACCCTGAAAAGGAAGGGAAAAAAGGTTTTATACTGCATTAGAAATGGCAGGGTTCACCAGCTTACTTAACAGGGGGAAATCACGTCTGGTACTGGAAATCCAGCCCAATTCCAGGGGCTAGTGAGGTCATGGATCTTAGAAAAGAACCTACTATAACCACTTTGCTAGACCAGCGTAATTTCTTACTACAAATTTTAAATCTTCTCCTTATAGCCACAGACAAGGGTAGCTACCATTCCTCATCAGAGACCTCTCCTTACAGTAAATGGGGTCTATCCCAGGAAACCACATCTGGACACAATGCAGAGATCAACAGACCATGGGAAGGCCAGGTCCAATGGACACATCTGCAGTACAGGTCTCTCATATGAAGCACAGTGAACATCTAAGAAGATGGGGCTGCAAGACTGTGAGAGCAGAACCCCAGGAAGTGTGCTGTCAAACAGTCTCTCCTAGAAATGGCTACGAAAACAAGACAGGAATAATGGTATTATCAAGGGACATATTAATAGGGAAAGGGGGAAATTTTAAGTGGTCCCACCCGTAGACAAAGAACTACAGGCAACTAACGATTGCTAGAAGAAGGAGAATTAGCCTCTCCCAGGGATGAGCCTCCTTACTGCTTGTCCAATGCAAAGTGGTCAGCCTTGAAACCATATATATACAAACAACAATACAAGACTCCGCAAGCTGTATTATACACACATACATACGTATTTGTGTCTTCATGTACATATATACTTGTGTGTATGTGGGGGGCATGGAGAGGTTCAAAGGAGGGTACCTGGGAGGGGCTGGAAGGAAGAAAAGTAATAATTCTGTTTTAATTTAAAACATCTTTCAAAAATTTAAGAATGAGAAACTGTCATAGCCAAGGACATAAGGAAGCATGACAGTTAAATGTAATGTGATTAGTAAGAATGTAATCCTGTAACAAAAAAGGATGTTTAGAAAACTCTTAGGCAATCTGAATAAACAATGGAGTTTTTATAATTAAATGGCCTTATAATTGTAACTAGTGTACCATACTAACGTAAAATATTAATAACAGAGGAAACTATATGCAGGATATATATGGGTACTTTCTACTTTCCCAACTTATCTGAAAATCTAGAACTATTCTAAAAATAAACTCTTAAATACTAGAATGGAATGCTTTGAAGGGGGTGCTGGTTTCCCCCAGTGGTAGAATACCATGACTGCCCCAAAGTCTGTAACTTAAAAGCAATGAACAAAATTTAAGGCATCAAAAAACAAACGAAAGAACCAACTAATAATACAATAATAATAATAATAATAGTAACAAACAGAACACCGAAGTGAAACAAGAGTCTATCAGTGGTCAGAGACTTAGCTCAGTAGGAAAGCACTTCCTAGTACACCAGGACTTAATCCCCAGCACTACAAAACAAAGACCCAAAGTATCTGCAAATTTGCAACTTTTCTCCTGAAGGTACTACTTGATTTCACAGAGTCTAAGTACAAGAGACAGTAAAAGTGTGATTTCTGGGACAAAGGGGGTGGTTGTATGTGGTGATATTTTATTTGTGCACCCCAATAAAGCTTATCTGGAGAGCTGAGGAAAAGCCAGCCACTACATTAAAGGTAGAAGTCAGGCAATGGTAGCACACGCCTTTAATCCTAGCATTTGGGAGGCAGAGAGTCATCTGGATCTCTGAGTTCAAGGACACACTGGGAACAGAGCCAGGCGTGGTGGCACACACCTTTAATTCCCAGCACTAGTTAACCACAGAGGTCTGGAGGTCTGTGCAGAAAGAGGAAGTGATGAAGCTGGGCGGAGAGAGGAAGTGAGATGGCAGGGACAGAAAGGCGTTGAGTATACAGGAAGTTAACTCTCTCTTTGGCTGAGGATTTCCTAGTGGTAAGGACATGGCTGGCTTCTTTCTGCTTCTCTGATCTCCCAATTTTCACCCCAATATCTGGCTCTGGGTTTTTTTATTAATAAGACCGTTTGGCAATTCGTCTTACAGCTGTACATTTAGAAGGCAGATCTGCAAAGAGGGATGATGGAAGGAACCACATAAGAGATGAGTCCTCAAAGCTGAGGCAGTGCTAAGGACTGAACAAAAATGGAGCAGCTGGAAGAACTGAGGAGGAGTGTCCAACTGCTCGAGGACAGGCCAGTGCTAAGGAAGACAGCTTCAAAGACTGCCTTCAGCAAGGCGAATGCCTACCAAAACGAAGCTTTCCAAGACAGCAAGAAGTTACAAGCTTTTTAATCACGACGTTCATTATATGTTTTCTCAAAAACCCACAAGAGCTAGGTGAGGTGGTTCAGTGGGTAAGGACATGTGCCACTTAAGCATAAGGACCTGAGTTCAAATCTCTAGCACCCACATAAAAAGTTGGGTGTGGTGCCTCTAACACCAGTGATGTAGATAGCAGACAGAACAGCTGAAGCTTATTGGCTGCCAGCCTAGCTCCAGATTCAGTGAGACCCTGCTTCAAAGGAATGGGCAGAAAATGATAGAGAACCTCTGAGCGTGCATGCACACGCACATACACATACACACCTGCCCAAATGCACACATACTTTTTTTTTAATCACTAAGGGGCTAGAAAGATGGCTCAGCTGTTAAGAGAACCTACTACTCAGTCATAAGAAGTTTAGATGCCAACATTCAGGTAAAAAGCCAGATGTCCCAGCATGCCTGTAACCCAGCTCAGAAGGGGTCTGAGACAGGAATTACTAGATCCTGCTGGCTTCCAACGTCGTCAAGAGAATGTAAGCCCCAGGTTCATGGTCTTGCCCCAAAGGAACAGGCAGAAAGTGATAAAGGAGGATACCCAGCACCCTCTTCTGACCTTCGCATGCAAGCACAGGTATGTGTACCCACACACGTGCACACTACACAGATGCACAATAAACCAATCTGATTTTTTAAAAAAAAATCACTAGATATTCAAAAAAGAACCACCCCCAACCCCGAACCCCACCCCCTGCCGCCAACACACACACACACACACACACACACACACACACACACACACACACACACACACACACACACCCTGCAAATAAAAAAGCTTAAGAGTAGCTAGCTGCACAGTATTACCTTAATGGGCTGTAAGACACATAATGTAACTAAAAGAACATTTTGCAAACATTAAAAAGCTCATCAAGATGGCAGAAAAGGTGAGGGCATCTGGCTCAGTATCTGTAACCCACTAACCAAGAGAGCTGCTTTGCTATCTGGGTAGCTTATGCTGTGTCTCCTTTCCCCTCACTGTTCCAGTGTGGTCCTCACAAACATTCCATTAAGGGGAACTGAACCAACCCACTAAACTTACAAACAAGATCTTAGGACACAACAGTAGATTTGTATGCAACCAGTAAGAGAATTCAAAACACAAGAAGGAAAAAACTACAGAGAAAAATGAACAATAAAATCTTAGCACAGCTCTCTTAGCAAGTGACAAAACTAGACACAAATCTGAATGTACTAATCATCTTGATATCATGCACAGAAATTGCTGAGGAGCAGACAGTCTGCAGATATACATGAGATGTTCACCAAGATACACCACCGTGGAGAACTCAGAGGCTATGTTCTCTGAACAGAAGGAAAAGATTAAAATTATCTAACTCCAGGAAGCCAAGACGGCTCAGCAGGTAAAAGCACCAGCCATACAAAGCTGACAGCCTGAGCTTGATCCCTGGAACCCAGGATGGAAAGAGAAAACCAATGCCTACGGAAGTTGTCCTCTGGCCTCCACATTTGTTTGGTGGTACACATGGTCCTTGTACTCACATCACACATCTACAACACAACCCCTGCAACTAAGGCTCAGGGGACGTCATGGAGAGTCATGAGAACCAAGGACTCACGACAGCAGCTGCTGCAAGACCGTGTCTTGAAGATTTGGCACTGATGCTATGCCCATCCATAGAAATTTCACACGGTCTCACCTCTATATGAAGAGCTACCAAGGGAGGGAGAATCGTTTTTCTGCAGGGACAAGCCTCCTGATAGGCTTCCCAATTCTAAGTGGTCAGCCCTAAACAAATTTATCTGTGGGCAACAGGTGGACTCAGGAGGGGTGTGTGTGTGTGTGTGTGTGTGTGTGTGTGTGTGTGTGCGCGCGCGCGCGCGTGCGTGCGTGCATGCGTATGCGTGTGTGTGTGTGTGTGTGTGTGTGTGTGTGTGTGTGTGTGTGTGTGTATCTGTAGAACAAGAGGTCATGAATTCAAGAGGGCTAGATAGAGGAAAGGAAGAAGTTGGAGGGAGACAGGCAGGGGAGGAAATAATGTAAATAAAGTATACTCATATATGAAATTCTCAAAAAATTACAAAATTCTAAAATTTTTAAAAAATGAAAAAATTTTCCTAAGGACAAAGGAAATAGGCAAGCCAGAGTCTAAGGGAACGTACATGTAAAACATGTATTTAACAAACAATATGTTTTCAGAATGTAAAGATATCTAAGAGAGCTAAAACATTACATTAGTGGGGGAAACCTAAGTGTTTTAAAGCATGTCACCAAAAAAGCGTACAGAGAAAGCCAAAAATCCATCCTATTATGGATTTTATTTAATTTTTTTTAATGGTGGTGCATACCTTTAATCTCAGCACTTGGAAAGCAGAGGTGGGCAGATCTCTGTGAGCCTGGAGGTAGTCTAATCTACAGAGTGAGTTCCAAGACAGAGAGGGCTACATAGTGAGACCCCCCCCCACCCCATCTCAAAAATAAGAAATAAATTTTAAAAATCCCACAGCTTTTGTGCTTTTACCACAGAGATGAAGAAAATTAGAAAGACAGGTTTCTGTTTCCCTCAGAAAACAAGTTTTCATTTGAAGAGATAAAGAATACAGAGGGAAGTAACAAGCCTCCGAGCCTCCGAGTACTTAGGTCTCTCTTGGGAACCGTCAGGAAGCTGAGACCCCTTGGAGGAGCCGTCCTCCAGCCCTATCACTCACCCCAGCTTCTAACCCCTCACCCCGGAAGTGTCTGGCCACCTGTTTGCGGAGCAGTTCTCCCTGCTTCCGCCTCTCTTCCTCCTCTCGCCTCCTCTCCTCTAGTCTTCTAAGCGCCTCCTCCTGCTGCTGCCTCTCCTCCTCTTCCCGCTGCCGCCTCAGCGCCATCTCTTGCTCCCGCTGGCGTCGCAGGGCCTCCTCCTAAAGGAAACAGCAGGGTGGCAGAGGGTGGGTGAGACTGGCTGGCCGAACTCCAAGGGGAGTAGGTGATGAGCTACTAAGTTGCTGTAAGTACAGAACAGGATCTGGAGTGGAAACTACCACGTGAATTGAGAGGTAGGTATATTATGATCAAAAACAAGCTAGGCAGTGTTGGTGTACACCTTCAATCCCAGCAATCAGGAGGCAGAGGCAAGCAGATCTCCGAGTTTGAGGCCAGCCTGGTCTACAGAACAAGTTCCAGGACAGCCAGGGCTACACAGAGAAACCCTGTCTTGGCAGGGGGGTGGGGGTGGGGCTCAGATTAAAAAAACAAAACTGGACATGGTGGTGCAGGCCTTGAATCCTAGCACTCAGATATAGAGGCAGTAGGATCTCTATAGTTCTAAGGCCAGCCTGATCTACATGGTGAGACCCTGTCTCCAAAAGAAATAAAATGAACAAAAAGCTAATACTTAAAATACTAGTATACTGTAAAACAGTTGTCTGTCCTGGCTTGGATACAAGCCACATGTTTACTACTGATACTAAAGAGGATACTGGAACACAGGCATTGCTTTCTCTGTTGGTGCTTCTTAGTCCTTATTTTATTTTATTTTTTTAAGATTTATTTATTATGTACACAGTGCTCTGCCTGCATGTATGCCTTCAGGCCAGAAGAGGGCACCAGATCTCATTACAGATGGTTGAAAGCTACCATGTGGTTGCTGGGAATTGAACTCAGGACCTCCTGAAGAAAAGCCAGTGCTCTTAACCTCTGCCTAGTCCTTATTTTTTAATCAACTAAAAATATAAAGGATAAAGAAACCAAATCTACAAAAACACCAAAATCTAATGAAGTAAGAAAAGTCATGCATCCCAGAACATCTTCTGAAGGATAAAAATCCCACCAATAAGAACAACACAGAATCATGTAGGGAACACTGAGTACTGCAGAATTAAATGCATTTCTTTTTTAACCCACCCTCCATCCTGACCAGAGACAGGGTTTCTCTGTGTAGACTAGGCTGGCCTCAAACTCAGAGATCTGTCTGCCTCTGCCTCCCAATTGCTGGGATTAAAGGCTTATGCCATTACTGCCTGGCTTCTTTTTAATCATTAAAAATTTCATAATGTGTATTATATTTACATCACTCCCCCTCTTCACCCCATGTCTCACTCCCTCTCAAATTCATAGCCTCTTTTTAAAAAAGATTTATTTATTTTTATGTGTATGGGTGTTTTACCTGAATGTATATCTGTCTGTGCACCACATGTGTGTCTGATGGCCTCAAAGGGCAAAAAAACCAGGACACTGAATGCCCTGGAATAGCAGTTCTCAACCTATGGGTTGCAACCCCTTGCGGGGGATGGGGTCACATATCAGATATCCCGCATATCAGATATTTACATTACTATTCATAACAGTAGCAAAGTTATAGTTATGAAATAGCAACAAAATAATTTTATGGTTGGTGGTCACAACATGAGGAACCATATTAAAGGGTCACAGCATCAGGAAGGTTGAGAAGCACTGCCATACAACTTGAGTTATGAGCCACCATGTGGGTGCTTGAAATCAAATCCCAGTTCCTCTGGAAAAGCAGCCAGTGCTCTTATCTAAGACATCTGTTTTTATCTCATCATAGATCCTTCTGTTCTTCACAGAGGACATCTTGGAGCAAATAAGTACAAACTTGTGACTAAAAGCTGCGTTTTTGGGGCACCTGAGGGGAGTCTTCCATTAGAGCCTATAAAAACTCCACCAGAAAAACAGACCAAGCAAGTTAAGAAAAATAAATTCCTCAAAATGAAACAGAAAAAACACCATGAAAAACTAGTAAACCTTACTGGATAAAAATAAAGGCTTTACAAAAACTTTCTGACAACCTAAGAAACAGTAAAACCTTGAGAATAAGTCTCATATCTAACAATAGTTGTCTAGCTAAACTATAAATTCAGAAAGCAAAATTTTGTACAGCCAGTAAGTGTGATGATATAGATTTGTGCATATAAGTAATACTTGGCATGGAATGATGACATAATTCATTAATGTCAAAAGTTAGGTTATAAAACACTAAGTACAAATGACGTATTTCTTACATAATTACATGACTGGTTTTTTGTTATCTACTAGTAGTTCAAAGACTGAAATATCTGAGGAATAAAAACTGAATCTGTACTGGGTCACTGATCCCTAGTGGGAAAGCACAACAACTCGCTACGGCAGTTACACTGTGCAGATTAGTAAGTCATCTAGCCAAGGGATACCGAGGGCCTGACCCAGCTTGTGTACACACAGTTAGCAGAGAGACTTGAACATCTGTGCATTTCATGTTTGTAAGAGGTCCCACAACCAAACTGCTGAAGATATATCAAGGGATAACTACACAGTTCTATGTATAGAGGGTTTTTCTTCCCTGCTTTTGAAATCACCAACAGACAGCTGAAAAGGTTTATTAAAATGGACTGGAGGGCAGAGGTCTTTAGTGAAAAGACAGATTTTTTTTTTTCAAAGTTATCTGAATGACTGAGCACATAGAAAGATGTTCAATGTCACTATTACTTGGGAAATGTAAATCAAAACCCTAATGAGATACTATAATACCTCCCAAAAATATCACTGTAAAAAACAAACCAACAGAAATAAAAAGTGTTGGGAAAGGCAAAAAGATACTCAAACCCTTATGCATTTCAAGTGGGCACATGAAAATTTTGTAACAGAATTCATGCATAATGTGGCAAACATACTTCTAGTATATATGCAGAGTTGAAAGCAATGGTGCAGTTATCTGTCTGTACACTCATGTTTACAGAAATTTATACATCCAAAATATACATATGGAAGTCCTCCAAACATCTGTGTACAGGTAAATCAAAATGTGCTATCTACATATAACAGAAATTTATGTAGCTTTGAGGAAGAAATTCTGACCACATGCTATAACAATATTGTCTGACTACATCAAATGCCCAGAGTAGTCAAAATCACAGAGACAGAAAGAAGAAGGCAGACAGAAAACAGGTTCTTTCTGAAGGTGAGTGAGTTTTCTCATCCTGTTGTTAGAGCTTTCTCTCCCCATTCCTCTTGATACGGAAGGGAGCACATCACCAAAAGCTTCTCTTCTGTGTGCAGAGCTTCCAGAGACATACCTGCTTCCTTCTGGCCAGCTCCTCTTCTTCTCGTCTTTTCCTTTCTTCCTCCTGCTGCCTCCGAAGAATTTCCTCCTGTTGTCTCCGGAGCTCTTCTTGCCGCTTCCGCTCCTCCTCTTCCCTTTTTGCCCTCATTTCTGCTTCTCTTCTCTCCTGCTCTAACTGGATGATGAAAGAGAATGTCCACTGATTTACTGCAAGCATAGGGGTACCCAAAGCATTCAGTCATTTCGGGTGAGAGGTGCAGATGCTGCCATTCACTTAGCAGCACCATGCTGTGCTGCAATGGGTAGATAAAACCCTGGAAGAACTCTAAGATCCAACATGGCACAGTAATCACTTTTCTGCTCTTCTAAACTACATGCATGTTCCTCCCACTTTGGCCACCTCTTCCCTCAATGTGACTTTACAGCACATCTCTAAGATGTGGGACCCAAGTGGCCAACATGCGAGTAACATCAGAAGTGCCCTGAAGTGTATGTATGGTATTTCTTTCCTCGTCTCTACAGAACACTTCTGAATGGGCTCTACCAGTGTGACTATAAGGTTTCAATGGCTGCTGGGAATTAACGCAGGGGTTACTAATCTCACCGTCAACTACACTGCAGGCCTTCTCTTTTCTCACCTATATTCTAAGTCTTACCAACCCTCCCATCCCAAATTCTGTCTCTATCTGCATTCCTTGACTCAAAACCTAATCAGTAAAGGGGGTTGGGGTTGGGGGGAGCCAGGCTTATCTGACAGCATTCCTTGCAACGAAAATAAATTCTATCATGAAATGTGTAAGGAACTCATGATGGCCCTGCTCATCTTATTCCTCAGATTGTACCCTGGCTCTAAGTCAAGTGAAATTACTTTACTGCTTACTGATTCCTAAATGTTCTCAAATCTATCTACCCAGGACTATTTCCTCTAAATGCAATTTAATTTTTATATCTGAAAACCCATGCTAAGGCATGGGGGCATATGCCTGTAATCCCAGTATTTGGGAAGCAGAGGCAGTAGGGCCATCTCAAGTTTGAGGCCAATTTGGACTACAGCGTAATTTCTAAGACAGTCAGGGTTACAATAGTAAGATCACGTCACAAACAAAACCAAACTCCTACTAATCTTGAAGTGCAAAGTAACTTAGGAATTGCTGACTATCAAGTGTCACCACCCTCTAAGCTGGGTAGTAGCCCATATACTCTTGACCACCCTGTAAGTATAACTGCCACTTGTCTCTATCTCCCTACCCACCAGAGAAAGGACTGATAAACTACTTAAAAGACCTTATTCTTACCTACATGTCCCTAGCAGAAAGCAATGAGGAAGTAGGGGATACTAAACTCAACAACTGTAAAGATCTACACTCCCTCACTCATTTATGGAGACAGCTCTCACCATGGACCTTTTCATACTCTCTATAAGATGCATTAAGTGTGATTCTCCTTGGGTGCGAGAATCAAGGAAACATTAGAATCATACCATGCTCTGGTATAGACATCCTCTTTTGGCAAGTTCTAAACCAAAATTCAGGACTGTTAGTTCCTCTAGGATCTAATGATCATGCTGAACATTTCAGATTCATGCCCCAGGATACCAGGAAATAACTATAAAGATTCAATGTAGGAATGCAAGTCACAGATCAAAAAAATCTAACAATGCAGCAGATATTTTCTAACAGTATTCATGACAAATAAGCATAACATGAATAATGCAAGTAAAATACACATATGACCATGATCATTATTAAATAACTTAATACTAACCAATTTTAATTGAGGTCTTTAGTTTTTTGGGGGAGAAAAGGGCACCAAAAAGACAGAATACAAATGTACTTATCCCAACTAAGTAGAGGTAAACTAAAAAGAAACTAGGCAGCTATAGGAAAAGAAAGACATAAACAAAGCCTTGCAGCCTACAGCTGGAAGGTACACAGTTGTGAAGAATAAGTTTCAGACCTTTGCAGCTTTGGCTTTCTCTAGCTGCTGAAGCTGTTCCAGGGAAGGGCCTGGTGTCGTGGTGTCCAGGGGAAGATCCCATACACTACCACCTTCCCAAACTGTAAAACAAAGACAACACTGAGAAAGATCCAAGAGTGTAGCCTACACAGTCACATAACCACAGGCATAATAAAGAACTGCTCCCTGAACCTGAAATGTGCTCCATCACAGAAAATTGTTCTGCCTTTGGGAGTAGTGTGTGGGGTTGTCTTGCTATACAATCCAAAATAGCCTTGAATGTGAGTTCATCCTGCCTCAGTCTCCTAAATGCTGAGGTTAAAAGTATGTGCCACATGTGCCTAGCTGTTTTGCTTCAAAAGAAACTAAGCCAGCAGAGTCTCATCAATACTCTTCAATACATCACGAAGGTAAGGTAGTATGAGACATTTACTGAGGAACCAATTTCATCCTTGTAATGCTCCATATACAAGTACCTGATATGTTGTCCCTCATCTTTACAGATGAACTAATTTTAAAACTTCAAAAGGAATATGGCAAGAATGTGACAACATGGTAATTCCAATTCCAGTGATTCCAAATTCCACAGAGGAGAGATTTCTAGCAGCCATACAATCTCTTACTGCACACCAAGTAGAGAACCAGGTGGCTACACACTATATATGTATTAAATGTTACTCAGCTGTTCATCTTACGGTTGTAATGTAAGTTACATCTCTTTAGAGAGACTGGGCAGGTCTTACAAACTACATTTGGTCTTGGCTTGGAATCCCTTATATTTACTTCTACATCTGGCAAACAAAGCACACAGCCAGATATAGAAGTAAATATAAATTGAGTTTCCAAGCCAAACATGGTGATACATTTCTATAATACCAGCACTCTGGAAGTAGAGCTCTCAGGAGGATCCTAAGTTCAAAGTCAGCCTTGGATACATATTAAATAAAAATGAAACCTTGTCTCAATGAAAAATAAAACACAATAAAATAAAGGCTTCTGAATCAATTATTTTATTGTTAGTTAAGTTTGTTGACACTAATGCTCTATTTTCCTTTTTGTAGTACTAGAGATTTAATAGTGTTGCAAATGCTAGACAAGTATTTTACCACTGAACTTAGAACCACACACATGATTTTTCTGCATATCTATTACAATGTATCTGTGCAAATTAAATACTGTGTGTATAACCAATGGAGTATTTAAAAGGACTTGATTGCATGTAAACTGTTTGAGATACTTAGAAGCTCCAAAACATTGAAGACTATTTTAAAATCCTAAGTATAAATGAATTCTAAAAAAAGAATAATGTAGACTGGCAAGATGACTCAGTGGGTAAAAGGCCCTTGTGTCATCAGGCCTGATGACAAGAGTTTGACCCCTAGTGCTCATAAAGCAGTAGAGAACCAACAGGCAGAAGTTGTCCTCACCTCTGTGAGTGTACTGTGGCACCTGTGCCCACATACACAGACACACACCATACACAAACATATAAATAAATAAATAACTTAAAAAGAATAATGTATATGCAGTATATAAGTTTTGCTCTAATCTCTTCTTTGGGAAGGTTTCAGAAAGGAGACACTAGGCCCTCTACCGTCATACTCTGTAGGGTCAATTCTGGAACTATCACTTTAATGGCTCACCAACTCTTAAAAAAAAAAAAAAAAAAAACCTGGTTCATGGTTCCTAAGAATTTAGCAGCCAAATGCTCTCTCCTATAAGCGCTATTGGTTAGTCAAACTTTCCACTTCTGTGGGTATTATACCTCAGTAACAAAAACGAGCTTAATCCACCAATTATCAAGATTTTAGAAATCCCAACTCCCAAGTTTTCTAATTTGACACACAAAATATCACAGAACAAGAAGACATTCCTTTAAAGTGGGTATTTCTCAGGCTAAAATTCGGTAACACCTGCAAGGTTAGTGTTATTCATCTTTAACTGCAAAAGAGAGAACAATATTACTTAGTTTTATTTCCACACACAAACCCACACACACTCCAGCAGAGACACCAAAAACAAAATATTTTTCAGGGCTGGAGATTTGGAAAAGTGGCCCAGCCCTGCCCTGGCACAGAAGGGTCTGGAGACTGCTGCAGCACCACAAAGCAAAACCAAACAACCTACCTTAGTTAGAGCAACACAAACACAACCTGACTCCTACAATTCAAACAATTTACAACTAAATACTTCCTACAGAGCCTTTCATGGATCTACAACATATGGAGTTTCTTAAAAATCAATAATAATGGGCCGGGCAGTGGTGGCGCACGCCTTTAATCCCAGCACTCGGGAGGCAGAGCCAGGCGGATCTCTGTGAGTTCGAGGCCAGCCTGGGCTACCAAGTGAGTCCCAGGAAAGGCGCAAAGCTACACAGAGAAACCCTGTCTCGAAAAACCAAAAACCAAAAAAAAAAAAAACAAAAAAAACAAACAAAAAAAAAACAATAATAATGGATCACTATATCTCTGACATTAAAAAAATTAACTATAGATAACTATTACATTCTAAATCCCTTAAGTTGTACTATAAACAAAGATAAATTTTTACCTGCGGGCTGTGAGGTTGCTGGCTGAAGCTCCCAGATAGAGCCAGTATCCGGCACTGACACAGACCTAGTTACTGAGGGAATGATGTTCTGATCAGATATTCTGCAAAAGGGAAAAAAAAAGTCAATGTGTTCCTGTTCCTTGGAAAATAAGATAAAGAGGGATTTCTAGAGTATTAGTAGGTTTCTGGGTTGTCTGGCTAGGAAACACCATTGTTTTGCTATCACCCTGTTTTGTTTTCTGAGATAGCGTCCCACTATGCAGCCCTGGACGACCTGGAACTCACTATATAGACCAGGTTGACCTCAAATTCACAGAGATCTATCTATCTGCTTCCGCTTTGCTAGTATTAAACACTATTTTAAATGATGAAAGTTGGGTTAGCTGGTCTATATAGTTAGCCTGGTCTATATAGTAAGACTCTGTCTTAAAACATAACAACACCCAAGAACTGCATTTCACTTCTGTCTCTAAGGTCTTCCATACACCAGGTTAATCAAGCTCTCAGTATCTCAAGGGTATAGTTTACTTACCTTTAAAATAGAGACCAAGCCAGGTATGGTGACACATGACTTTAATTTTAGCATTTGGGAAGCAGAGGCAGGCAGATCTCTGAGTTTGAGGCTAGCCTGGTCTACAGAAAGAGTGCCAGAAGAGCCAGGGCTACACAGAGAAACCATATCTTGGAAAATCAGTAAACAAAAGAATTAAAAATAGAGACCTGACTGTTAACCTGCTTGTCTCACAGGATGGACTAAGCTCACATGAGAAATGTGAAGTACTCTGATTAAGACAGACAGTACAACTTTTTTTTTTTTTTTTTTTTTTTTGGTTTTTTTGAGACAGGGTTTCTCTGTGTAGCTTTGCGCCTTTCCTGGAACTCGCTTTGGAGACCAGGCTGGCCTCGAACTCACAGAGATCCGCCTGGCTCTGCCTCCCGAGTGCTGGGATTAAAGGCGTGCGCCACCACCGCCTGGCGCGTGCGCCACCACCGCCCGGCCAGTACAACTTTTTAACAGCAACTGCTAATACAACTTTAGGAGCTGAGACAAACATCCAGAATGAAAATCTGAAGTAGAAGGAATTGAAGAATGCTTTCATAATTGCTTTGTCCACAGACTTGCCTTAATAGTTTGGGAATGCAGTAAATCATGACCCTGTGTGACCTAGCAAACTTTTTTTTTTTTTTTTTTTTTTTTTTTGCTTTTCGAGACAGGGTTTCTCTGTGTGGCTTTGGAGCCTGTCCTGGAACTCACTCTGTAGCCTGGGCTGGGCTCAAACTCACAGAGATCCACCTGCCTCTGCCTCCCGAGTGCTGGGATCACCACCGCCACCCGACAATCAATCTTTTTTTCAGATATCACAGGTAAAGTGAAAATAAAATCCCAGGCTATGGTCTTTTGTTACAGGTTCCCAAGTGTTATCATCACTCTTAGATGATTCAAAAAAAAGTGTATACTCTGTATGTAAATGCTTTTTACATATGTAAAGCCCTCTAGCCAAATGACCTTCAAGTCACACTATTTTTATATATACCATGAAGACAAGTTTCGTGGGAATATTATGATCTTAAAATTCATAAATTATATCAACCTTTCTTTATTCTCCTTAATATTCTCTCTCTCTCTCTCTCTCTCTCTCTCTCTCACACACACACACACACACACACACACACACACACACTCACACACAATGTGACAAATGGAATGACCACCAACCTCATCTTCAGAGCTTGGAACTGCTGGAGAAGAAGAGCCAGCTGCTGCTGCTGCTGAGATGACAAAGCTGCTTTCTGCTGTTGAGCCAAAACCTGTGCATACTGTTGTCTTTAAAAGTGAAAAAAGAAGTGTAACCTATCTACCCATACATACTTCACATGATTACAGACTGGAAGACAAACTCCAACTCATCTCCTCCCCAAACCACAATTAGAAATAACAATCAAATATATTTTACAATTTTATGTGCTAATAGTCACAAGAAATTTTATAATTCACTCCAGAGAGAACTCACAGATGAAGTTTCTGAAGGACAGACACATACATGTGTACATATACATATGAAACAAATGACATGTGTGCTATCTGCATACCACATGTCACAGAATGTCAGACACTGGCAAACACCCACAAGGTGATCAGTACTGATCCTTTCCCGGACTGTAAGCGACAATAAGCAAATCTGACACCTATTTCCAAATGAAGAACTCCGCAAAATCAAATCACTTCTATAAAGTCTCAAATTTTATGTTTTAGCTTGGAAATTTTTAGCTAATATTTTCCACTAGCTCTGAACATTCCAATAGTAAATCTCTTCAGGTTTGCAGCAGCAACCCCTCTGTGATTTTAGCAGTAGTAACAGAGAATCTAAAAACAGGTAAGTCAGTGATCTAAGAATTTTCTGCTTCAAACAGGCAGCAGGCTATCAGGGCAGGACAGTGCCAACCCATATACCAGCACACAGGTTCCTTCCTTTCCCCAAGTGCTCATGTGACTAAGGCTGCAGAACATGAGTTTAGGGCAGTCAGGGCTACATAGCTAAATCCTATCTAAACAACAACAAAAGAAGGGGTGATTAACAACTTTAGTGAACCGGTCATCATTCTACACCATTCCTAACAGCGTAAATTTGAACTTCTTCCCAACTTCTCTATGTTTTTTCTTTGTGTCCCTCAGAAAGTACTTAGTTCTAAAAAATGTTTGTTGGCTCTTTCCTCAGTAACTAAAGACCCTGAAAATCACAATTAGATGTCACTTTCTGCAATCTTCTGGCATTTAAAAGGATAAGACTAAAAATTGGATGGACAGTGGTATACATGTCACTAGTAGGCTACTCAAGTATCACAGAAGCCTTGAGTTCTCACTATAAAAGGTGAGACTTGGGAGCAGATTCTATCTCAGGCTCCTCTGGTGCTGCAGGGCATCCTACTGCATCACTGCTCTTACTGTATTAAGAACTGCTGGTACTGGAGGTGCTGCATCTGGTATAAGGCATTGAGTTCCTGCTGTCTGGTCAGGCGTTCCTGGTCCAATTCTCCCTGAGAGAAAGAAGCACCATGAAATAAACAGCAATGGGCCAGTGTCACGTCCCTGAGCATATACACCTAACACAGCACAGTAAATCCAACACCTGGATTTCCTACTCCCACCTTCTGCCCTTCAAACACTTAACTAAAAACCCCACCATCTATAGAAACTAAACAATGCCACCTGGTGGAATAAAGTGGTTTTCCAGCATGAGCCACAAAGGGTCCTTATTCATCACGGTGCTCCACTACTTCAAGCTGAATGATGAACAGTGTTCTATAGAGCTGTTATTGTAACTGAGAAATTACCCAGCACTCCAAATTTTGGTGGCTTGTTTTAAAGATCATATAGAAATCAGAGAATTAGGATGTTAAGAAAAAGAGTATAAAATGACCTAACAGTTGATGGGATGGTAAGAAATTTCACAGTAGCACATGATCAGTTCACAAAACTAGGGTACAAATATTCTTTTTTTGTTTGTTTGTTTGTTTGTTTGTTTTTTGAGACAGGGTTTCTCTGTGTAGCTTTGTGCCTCTCCTGGAACTCACTTGGTAGCCCAGGCCGGCCTCGAACTCACAGAGATCCGCCTGGCTCTGCCTCCCAAGTGCTGGGATTAAAGGGGTGTGCCACTACCGCCCGGCCAAATATTCTTAAAATGTTGAAAATAGGAAGAAAAAAAAAAAACCTCTGAGAACTATTCCTTCAAATTAGGTATTTCTATTATTAACATACAATAAGTTGGAAAACACAGGCAGCAATAATATTTTCTTTATTTTTCAAAATAATTCCAGTAAAATGGCTGAAATTTTGTAGTTTTGTCAAGTTAAAAGAGAAAAAGAAAAATATAAGGTCTACAATAATAATAAAAACCTAAGCTAACAGACTGAACCTAGGCAAATCATGTGAATTTGTATCTTTCTTACACACAGATTATAGTCTGAAATAGAGCATCTGATATACAATGTGTTAGGGCAGGAAGCATCCTAACTTCAGAGACACCAGGAGTTAGACACTAGTCAACTCTTCACATAAAAACCTGGGTTTTAAGAACACTGCTCGTGAAGGTCAGCTCTCTTATCAGTGCTACTTGAGGCAAAGGCAGTAGCAGCTAACAAGGAAGTGGAGCCTCCCAAAGGTTTCCTGTTGAATGGGCACAGACTGAGGTTGAGGTACAGCCTCAATTGAATAGATACAGATTGTGACTCCCAACAGATTATGTTGGGAAATAGACAAGGAGTAAGGGCATGCCAAGAACCAAGTGAGCAACTTTTAGCTCCTGACACAGGAAAGATACATCTCAACTTCAAGACAGAAAATACGGCTCAAACTTGCCATGTAAATTAAACCAATAAGTAATGACATACTATAACTGTTCTTAGGATTTAAAAGAAAACAATCCTCAAACATGATGTATGAATCATGGACGGTCAGTGGTCCAGCCCACATAATCCTGTAATGACAGAGGCTGTATCACCTTCATCATCACCTCTCAAAAACCTACCATGAAAGTGTGACCAGTAGCCCTCAATATAGTTGAATAAGTCAATGATGGGTTACTGTAGAAATCTAGTGTTCACACTAAATTAAATATGATCATTTTTATCAAGGGAGAGCCACTATTCGCTCCAACTTAAGACACATAAAGCCTAGATAAATACACACCTAGAGACCTCCAATAGCAACTCTACTGGGAAAGACCAGCCTTAAGAGAAAGTATTTCCCAGCTAAAGGTTTAGGCCCTCAAAATATCCTAACACACTAGTGGCACTTATTTTAGGATAAACCTCAAATTTAAGAAATTGTATTAGCCAGAAAATAAGATGGAACTGGAGGTGAAAGGAAAATGTGCATTCTAAGTAACGATAATAAGGAATTCACAGAGGCCAACCACATTGAAACACAGTAGATAAAAGCTTTCACATGAGAAGGAGCCAGACCATGAAGGACCTAGTAGTTAGATCAGGGTAAGATACTGGTCTCATTCTTTATTGGATAGAAAACCACTAATAGATATATCAATGCATGCACACAAATGTACAAGAAGTTTTGAAAGAATCATTACTGTTCAGGACATAACTCTCCCATTCAAAAATGTCCTTAACCATTTCAATTTCATTCTATGAAACTACTGGGTTAGGTATATTGCCTATAATCCTGACAACTCAGTAGGACCAGGAGAACTACTACAAATTTGAGGCCAACCTGGTCTGCAGGGCAAGTTCCAAGCCGACCAGTCATACTGCAAGACCTTGTCTCAACGACAGAAAAGAAAAAGAGAAACTACCATTCTTTCCTCCTTTACTGCAATCCTGGGTTGTCATTCAAAGAGAAACAAGTACTCCTGTGTCTACTGTGCATCCCAGGCCAGCAGGAAGATACTCACCATATGAGGAGGAGGAGCTGGGCCTGGAGAGAAAGGAACCCTTCCCCACATTTTCATGATATCACCAAGAGGCTGGAAGCTTTCATCACATGCTCTCTTCACAAGCAAAGACATAGTAAAATAGCCGGCCTGAAACCATTCAGTCATCTCCTGGTTGTTAAAGGGACCTAAACACAAGGGCAGTAGGAATCTTGTCAGCCTCAAAGACGAATACATTCTCTAGCTCTCATGCTCACACAAACTTTTACACTATCTAGCTTACTACAAATAGTTTTTTATTAGATACAATGAAGATAAATTTTGAAATACACTGTTTTGTCTATTTCACACAGCCTGGAATTAAGAGCCAGGATCTTGCTCCTTCTCAGCAAGCACTCTGCTGCTGAGCTTCATCCCTGAGCAAGCTCCACTTTCACCCATTCTAAATTGTCATCAATGCTTTAATAACTATAAGCAGCATAACTGTCTCACCCTCTAATTACTCACAGAAAAGTTAGATACACAGAAGAGCTGGTAAATATTTGCTGGCTTTGCATCACTGTGGTGTAGAGAATGTAAATGTTCATTGCTAAACATATTCTCCAATTTTTGTTATGTTGTGCTGGAGATTACTGATTATGGTATAAAAATATAAAATACAAGCAATAACCAACTGAACTAAGGCAAATTACAATTTATTTACCCAACTAGACTAAATCTGGCCTTGAGAAAAAAAATAGCATTCTTTAATGGAGTACTTTAAACACAAAATTTTATAGAACCTATAGACTAATTCAATATTTTCTAGGCATTAAAAATGTTTTTTTAAATGTAAATGGGTGTTTTGCCTGTAGAAATGTCTGTGCAGCACCTACGGCCTAGTGTCCGTAGAGGCCAGAAGAGGGTGTGGTATCCTCCAAACTTAAGTTACAGGAGGCTCTAAGCCACCATGTGGTTGCTGGGAGTCAAGCTTGGATCCTCTGAAAGAGCGGTGAGTGCTCTGAAGAGCAGTGAGTGCTTTTAACTATGAGTTATTTATCTAGTAATCCCTTCTAAATCGTCATACATATATATTCTCTGACTACCACAGAACCAATATATATACCAACAACAGAACACTAACAGGAAAATCTCCAGCTTAGAAGCTAAAAACACTTCCAAATAATTCATGAGTAAAAAGTGTGTGTGTGAGCATGTACACTTCACATACACTTAAGTATAAACCATGACTGATTTAAATTTATTCCTGGAATACGATGGTTCATTCAATTTATGAAAATTCAACAATAAGCTAAATATAGTGGTGTATGTCTTTAATCTCAGTATTTGGTGGAGAGGGATTACCAACATTTTATACCACATTACATGTAGCATATGACTATTTCAGTTGGTGCAGAAAATTTTAATACCTTTTCATATTAAGGAAGGGGGTCCTCACTTCAGGAGCACATATACTAAAGTAATGGAATGATATAGAGATTATTAGCATGGTCCCTGCACAAGGATGACACTCAAATTTGTGAAGCATTCTGTATTTTTTTTCTGACCTTCATATGTGATAGAAGAATTGAAATAAAAGCACCAAGAAGAACGAGGAGGAGGAGGAGGAGGAGGAGGAGGAGGAGGAGGAAGAAGAGGGCAGGGGCACGCATGGGCAGAGCAGGTAAAGATGCTTACCACTAAGTCTAACAACTTGATTTAAGATTTCTGGGAACTACATAGTGGAATCAACACTTGCAAGTTGTCCTCTGACTTCCACCCCATGTGTGCCCATACCTTTACACATACATACACATACATACACATACATACACACACACACACACACACACACACACACACACACACACACACACACACACAATCTTTCAGCAGTTAAAAGCACTTATTGTTCTGGCAAAAGATGCAGGTTTGGGTTCCAGCACCTGCTGTGGATATAGTTCTGTATGCTACGAATGTGTTGCTCTGATTTGGTTGATAAAATGCTGATTGGTCAGTGGCCAGGCAGGAAGTATAGTATAGGCAGGATAAGCAGAGAGGAGAATTCTGGGAACAGGGAGGCAGAGTCAGGAGTCGCCAGCCAGACACAGAGGAAGTAAGATGTAAAGATACTGGTAAGCCATGAGCCACGTCACAAGGTACAGATTTATAGAAATGGGTTATTTTAAGTGTAAGATCTAGCTAGCAAGAAGCCTGAGCCATTAGGCCAAACAGTTTTAATTAATATAAGCATCTGTGTGTGTTTATTTGTGTGTGAGTGGCTGCAGGCCCGGGCAGGACTGGAGAAAACTCCAGCGACAAGCACCCATCTGGCAGCTCACAAACACCTGGACCTTCACGAAGGCACCAGGGGACCGACACCTCTGGCTTCTGTGGACACCTGCACACACGTGCATATGTAACCCCCACACACATACACACATAATTAAACATAATAACAAGAAAAAAATTTAAAGATATGTAAGATGACTAGGGCAAGCAAGATGGTTCAGTAAGGACGGGCACTTGCCACACAAACCTAGTGACCTGAGTTCTGCCCTAGGAACCCATGGAAAGGTGGAAGGAGAGAACCAATTCCTCGCACATCATGCAAATATATAAACAGTGATAATAAATAATAAACTTTTTAAAAGATAAGGATCTATCACCAGATACACACAACCATGCCTGGTAGAATAATTCTGTCTATTGGCTTCATTATTTCTAGTTACTTAGGAAGGCTGGGGCAGGGGCCTTCAAAAGTATGAAATCAATATGAGTAATAATACCACATGACATTGTCTCAAAAAGGGGGATGGAGGCTGAAAAAAGGAAAAACTCTATTAGACATGAACACAGGTAAAGATGCTCAACACAGCAATCAAAACTACAAAAATTGTAACGATCCAGGTTTGGGGGAAGACATCCATAATGCCAGAACTCGTAAAGCTAAATCAGCAGAATGAAGAGTTGGAGGACATCCTGGGTTTACAACAAGACATCCCCCACCAAAAAACAAATAAACAAACAAACAAACAAAAAACCTACATACAAATAAATATCCTAGTAACTACAAAATAATAATAAAAGCTAGCAAAGATGTAGACAAATCAGAATCTTGTGTCCCTCTGGTAAGAACATAAAACAGTACGACGTTTTTGTATATAGCCCTCACAAGACAGAGTCAGGAAGTGCTGCGCTAAAACTGACACTAACATACCAACAACCAACTGAGGCGCTGAAGATTTTAAAAGCAGAAATGAACTGACTCAGATTCTTTACAGCATTGTCTCCTCTAAGCTAACTTATTCAAATCATTTAGGAGATTCATTTGTAATACTGTAGTCTTTTCTTAGTCATTTTAGTAATTCTCTGTTGTTATACCAAGTCCACTTTAGCAAATCAGTCAGGGTTCTCCAGCACTGCTGCTATCACTTCCTGTTGGTCTGGGTATCAAAACACAGAGAGTCACCTGCCTCTTATCCACATCATGATGTGCCTGTCTCTTACCCAGGGGGTGTGTGGAGCTCAGACAGTGCACAAAGCATTCTGCTGACAATGCTGCCATTTTAGTCACCACTCTCTACCTGTGTTTATTTCCCAATGTTTGTTCCTTTGTATTTACAAAGAAAGTCTATTGACTTTGTTTTTATTATGCAAACTAACATTGGACAAATCCCTTCTCAGGAGGTTCTGAAAGTGAAAAGAGCCACTCACCTTGGATCTCCCCCTGAGGGTCTTTGTAATACCACTTTTGCATTGCTTCGTGCATCAGTGGGACCGACACCCCTTTAGCTCTGTGCTCCTGCAGTTTCGATGTCAATCTCTCGTCATCTAGTGCACTGTCTTGGAGATAAGCCACCATCTTCTCAGCTTGCTAGTGACACAAGATAAAAGGACAGAAGAAACAAATGATCCTGAATTAATATTATAAGGCTAGTAATAATCATCACTGTTTAACTACTTGATTTATGAAAGACATTATGCAAGAAACAAAACAATTAACAACCTGATCCCATTTTATAGGAGAAAAAAATTATGGATCAAAGAACTAAAATAAACCAAATAGACTGAAATACAAACTGGTATGGATCAAAACCTAGGCTTCAAATACGGATTTAAAATATGCTGCTGGCCCATTAGATTATTTTCACAAACCTGCACGTCTGCATAGAGATGGTAGTAGACTAAAAGACTCAATTAATACAATTACAAATAAGTTAGTCTACAAGTCTCACTAACACATTACTAACCCTTCCTTCTACACTTCCTGTCTCTAGCCATGCCACCCTGAAGGAAAGAGAAATTCTTTTGTAGAAAATCAACTCATCATCTACTTTTCACGTGACAATGTTACACACAGTTTTTGGGAAACATAAGACATGAATAAGAATGTTAACATCCTGAGGCTTTTAACCATCATCCCGGCTATACTTGAAGTAAAAAACACAGAAGACACAGGGACCATCCACAGCTGCTTGTATTCACCATTTTTAGCATTCCAATAATGTCCAAAAGGAAAAGAAAAGAAAACAGCTAAGGGCAATCTCAGAAGAGCAAAAAATAACCTGACATAATGACTACTACATAGCAGAAACTTAAAAGCATGAAATGATCTGAAAGACAATTACTCACACAAACATTAAATAACCAAACAGTTTTTCCAATACTTAAGACCCAGTGCATAAAACTTCTGTATGGGGATATTCATGGAAGCTTGAGAGGAGATGACAGAGTAACCTGATTTCACCTGTTCCAAGTGTTTGAGGCCCTCTTCATCATCTGGCTCTGTGGGAACACCGCCCACACCAGGAGCTTCACCGGCTGCTGTCTCGACCGGCTGTGAGGCAGAAGCAGGAGTGGGACCAGGAGGTGGAAGGATGAGGAGAGGAGAGGCTGTGTCTGGAGGAAGCTGGGTCGAAGGCTGCTGGGAGGCAGGCACTGTTTCTAACGGGAAAGAATGTCAAGTAATGAATATTCTTGGAAAGCTGGAGACAGCTCAAGGTTAATCCTACATTAAGTGGAGCAGTGGGCTGTGTAGGCCCACCCGAGATGTCAACCCTAAAGCTACTTCTTAGGGAGAAGTGCAGTACTTCTCCCTAGGATGACAGAAGAGTTTCAAAGTCCACAAAGGGTCTTTCCAGCTATGGCACTACAGCATCCGGCCACTAGTTAGTGGTGTCAGTCAGACTACTCCACTCTTTGTAACAGGCCTCTAAAGAGTAAAGATTATGATACTTCATCAAAATGTTTATGGAAAACACCTGTAATAATACCTCTCTCAAATGGTAATATGGTGGATGTTTTAAGAGTCTCAACAGTGCAGACTGTTTTTAAGACCAGAAATTGTAAAAGTGGTTTTTGCCTTGGTTCCCTTTTTTTTTTCCTGGGGGGGGGGGGGGGGGGGGGGAGGCTTTTTTTAGAACTCACTCTGTAGACCAGCCTGGCCTTGAACTTTAAGAGATCGACCTCTCTCTCCCTCCTGAGTTGATGGGATTAAAGGAGTGAGCCACCACGACCCAGCTTAAATATATTTTTTATTTATATATTTTTATTTATTTAAATTTACATGCATTGGTGTTTTGCTTGCATTCGTATCTGTGTGAGGGTGTCAGATACCCTAGAACTGAAATTATAGACAGTTGTGAGCTGCCATATGGGTATTAGGATTTGAACCCAGGACCACTGGAAGAGCAGCCAGTGCTCTTAATCATTGAGTTATCTCTCCAGCCCTTGCCTTGGTTCCTAGTTCTAACCTCTCAGTATGCAGGGCTCCTAAAACAAATGTGGAAGATGATGTAACTAGACCAAATTTCTCTTTAAAACCTTAGCTGTTTAATCACAAAGAACCTCTTCCAATGCTTACTCCCCTCAAGCATTGCCAAACTGCTCTTAAGTTCCGTCAATATATGCTGCCTTTCTCTGCATGACCACCACCTACCGACGCCTGACAGACATGGACTTCCATTTGCCCCTTCTCGCCAGTAAAGCCCCCTGTTGAAGATACACAGTGACACAAAACTGCCAGATCAACAATTTTCTCCTGCCATCAATAGCTAATCTCTGGAGCAGGTGACATTACTGACCCAACTCTAAGCTTGAATGGTCTCCTTCCTGCACTTGTAGGCCATACTTTTGCCTCTCACGGGAAATTCTCTGGTTCCCACCCCTAAAGGTAGGCATTACCCAAACTTGTGTTTCCAGTCCTCTTCTTTCCTTACCCACCCACTGTATGGCTTTGCTCTTGTGCTCTTCAGTTTACTTTTGAGGCAGTCTTACTCCTCAGCCCATGCTGGCCTCTAACTCTCTAACTCTAATTACCAATTGCTGGGATTAACAGGCCTGGGCCACCATAAATGGATCCAGCTAGAACTTCTGATTCTTATTTTCTGCCTAGCTCTAAACTACTCTCATCCAGGTACAGTCCCCTTATTTACAACCTTTTCTGGTCAACTCTCATTCTCCTTCACGCTTCACAGTCAATGTTCTAAACGGATTCAATCAGTCCTCTTTCTAACGGGCTCTTCAGCTTCAACTTGTTTCCCGGTACTAATCTCCTGTACCACCTTAGCCATCTTCGCCTCTTTCCCACCATGACGCATCATCAATAAGCCGTCCCGTTTCTGACTAAAACCTCATCTACCACTACCTCAGTTTACAAGTGCACTGCCTACCTCCTTGGGTTGCTCAGAAGTTGAGGTCACACAGTAGCCCAACTATCTCCATACCCTACACAAACCTATCAAATCTAAGTTCCAACTCTATTTTCTACCAACCTTCTTAGCACACATAGTACCTATTTCTTTAAAAATGGGGTGGGGGTGGCCTGAGAGGACAGCATGATGGTTCAGTGGTTTGGGGGTGCTTGCTAAGTAAACCAGGACAGTCTGAGCTCAATTTTCCAGAACCTATATGGTAGAGGAGGATAAGTGACTCTTGGAAGATGGTTTCTAATTTCTACTTGTAGGTACATATGTGCATGTAACATGTAAACATACACACATGGCGGGGGAGGTAAATGTAATAAATAAAACTATTTCTTGCCCATGACACAACAGTTCTATTTTCTCACTATACTTTCACTGTTCCCTCAACTGATCTAGCTTTATCTACACTTCCAAATTCTACTTCCCTATCCAAGGTCATGTTTTTTTTGTTTTTTTGGGGGGGGAGGGGGAGGGATTTTAAGATAGAGTTTCTCTTGTGTAGTTTTGGAGCCTGTCCTGGAACTCTCTCTGTAGATAGACCAGGCTAGCCAAGATCTACCTGCCTCTGCCTCCCAAGTGCTGTGATTAAAGGCATACACCACCACTACCTGGCCTGAAAACAAATTTTTGGTTCAGGCCTTCAATATATTAGTCTAATGGGGGGGGGGGGGGGGGGACGACGACAACTCAATCTTTATAATATTGTTTTGTTAGGTATATACATATAGCACTGCTATGTTAACTACATAATAGTACTGGTTACTAAGAAATAGAAGACAACAACCTAACTAGGAGGGAATAAAGTTTCAGCTATATAGAGAAACATAAACACAAAAAAAAAGGGCACAAATCAAGGTCTAAAATTCTTTCAGTATGGTGAGTATAATGTAGGGGAGATAAAGAGTTGATGCTGAAACTACAAGGGAGCCATGTACCAGGGCCCAAGTCTAGCAGGCCATGTTACCAAGGGCAGACTCTTACGGTGACTGAGTCCTTCAACATCAGCCATGCAATGCAATGTTTAAGTACTTACAAGAATCATCAAGAGACAGGTGCTAAAGGTGAACGAGCTGATGGATATGAACCACCGGCCCAAGACTGTTTGAAATCCAGATTTTTAATAGTGACAAATAAAAGTCTTATTTGTGATGAAAAAAAAAAGAATCATCAAAGAAATGCACAACAACAGTGCTTTTAAGATGTATAAGCTATTCAAACAAATTAATTAATACTGAGAAGATGTGTAAAGACTTGCTTTCTAGCAAAGGTGAGGGTGGGCTTTTAGACTGGCCCAGGTGCTCTTTCTGTTCCCTTGGGACAACGGCATTTTGGTGTGAAGTTGAATATATGATATCAGATGAAAGGCAACTATCTGCTATGGGAATCCAACAACAGAGAATCCCAACTAAATGGACAAGTGCAGTCAAGACAGCTCTATCTCTCACCCTAGGAACCGAGGCTCTTATCGCCACTCTTGCAGATTTTAACCCTGTTTTTATGAATTTTGAGATTAGGAGACACAAGGAAAGCAACTGCATTTACTGGTAATGATATCTATTCCAATCATCTTCCCCTGAAAACAGTTCCATGGGGTTAAGTAAAAGCTGTCACACCAGTGATCACTGGTCTCAGTAAAATCTCATTTTAGGTACACTCTTATAATACATACCATCCCCTCTGCTGGGGCCCTTGACTGGAAGACTCTTTTCTCCCCGAGTCTCTTCTTCAGGTTGTTCCATTTGTTCAGCTTTGGGCTCCTCTCTCCTCTCCAACTGTGGTGCTTCTTGAGGCTGGTGATCTGAAGGGGTGCTTGGCCTAGCAGATGATAATGACGTCTGGGGTACTTCCTCATTAGCTTCTGGAACACAAAGGAAAAGTAAGTGAATTCAGGAGGTTTTTGTTTAAACAAAGTCCAGGATGACAAAAATCAGCCTTACCAGCAGCTACTGCTCTGTCCGTTTTTTCTCCCTCCTTATTTGCCTTATCAAGTTCTTTGGCCTCTTCATTATGGCTGTTGTCCGAGTCAGAGCGCTCTTCTCCCTCCTCCACAGGTCTAAAGTCCATTTCCTGCTCTTCAGGAATAGGTTCTTTCTGCACTTTCTGTAGCAAGAAAGTAAAACCCAAGGCTAACAGCCTATCTGGCTTTGGTGTAAGGTCAGCACCTGTCATGGCATTTAAAACAACTTTCTTACTTTTAGAGAGAGGAATGCTCCAGATGAGTCAAACGTGCCCATTTCTTCTTCGGCGTCCTCTAAACACCACTCTGGCAAGCTATCCCTGTCGTCATCTATGCTCCCACTGCCAGAGCGCACCCTTCGGTAACCTCGCTCATCATCTCGGTCTCGAAACTCAAACTCAAATCTGCGGCGGCGCTCCATGTGTTCCCGCCAGCCTGTGGAACGAGGGCCATCTGAGTAGAGGAGGAGGACAGAAACCTTAGGAAAGGTTTAGGACAGTATTTGAAAAAGAAAATCATGGTGATGAAACAAAGAAAACTACAACTAAGAGCAAATTCTAATGGATCAGCCTTCTAAAGAGAAAATCAGGGGACCTGAGCTCAAGAGTATTTATCGTCACTAAGTGACAACAGTATTTACCTTCAAAGTTTGGGACAGGTTACAAAGTCAAGCTTTAAAAGATAAATTTAGAACAAAGCACACTGAAAGGATACTGTGTTCAAAGTATGCACTCTGAATAATTAGGCGTTCGGTGAGCAATGACTAATTACTTGTATGGCCCACTCCTACCCAAGACTTGCATTGGCTGTCTTTCTGAATTAAAGTTCATGCCTTCTCTTTGGTAGATATTAAAGCAGTACCCTTCTTCTCACAAAAACATCACTCTGAATTATATTAGTTCCTGTGTCAACTCATAATAACAGACTCACTGTGTCTAATTACTAGTGCTAATTTCTCATTTTTAAGTCTGACCTCCAACAACAACAAAACGCTGCACTTGGGCACGGACGGCTTTATCTGGCCCCCGGTTCGGCATCGCCGCTGCTCTGCCACTGCACTGCACTTCCTCCATTCCACTTCCCCCGCTCTCACTTCTTACAGTCTACCACCGCAGGGGCATTCCTGAATCCACCCTAGCATACAATTCACTGAATCTACTTGCCAACAGAAAAAGACTGCCTGCTCAAGGTATTTTTCTAAAACAGAAGTACTCTTTTAAGAAGGGAAGGGACGTTCTTGCTACATCTGTCCAACCCACATCTAAGAGTCACAAATGGAAAGGTGGTTTTTAACCTCTAAATTTTCTAGTCTTGACTCTCACTCTGTTGAGAGATAGGGGAAAAAATGAGGCCAAAGTGAAATGCTCTAACTCCTGAGGCCAAATGTGCTAGAACCAGCAATCTAAAAACTACTGTGGAAAGGAAGGGGAGGGGGAGAACAACACTGTGGAAAATATTAAGATGCCAAATACAGGTAGAAACTTAAGATGTTCAAAAAAAGACAGATCCTCTCCTATGTAAAACATTTACTACCTGCTGAAAGCCCAGAATTGTATATAGGCTCTGTTTAAATGTAAGGCTAGAGCTATTGCTCAAAAGGAGTCTTCACGATCAAATGTTAGATTCCAGAGTCGGCTGTCCACTGCTATCACTTCTAAACAGTCTAAGTATGCACACTGATAGGAATCTATCCTTCTAGGCACTCAGCTCCTGTTTCCCTCTTACTGAGTTTCCTAAGTTCATCTCCCAGAGCGGAGGCTTCCCTGTCCACTGAGCCCTCTCTCCAGCTATATCCAGCTGTGATCCCTGCTTTAATAAAACTACATCTTCTACACTGTCTTACCAAGAGTTAGTAAAATTTTACTCATAAAACTAAAAAGTAGCAAGTGAGGCAGACAACTCATTAAGGCTGACCACAGCTTTATGTGGGCTTTACATCTAGAATAAAGTCAGAAATTTTCAGAAGATACATCAATCTAAAATACTGTACTGAAAATTTATTCTAATTCTAATAAAAGATTAACTATAACCTAAGAGGTGGAAATTAACTTATAACAACTAAGTGATCAGACTAGATTTTTAATATGCCAGATTTAAAAGTAAAATGTATTTTTAAAAAAAGAAAGCACAGGAGTTTTTTCCAGATCTCTTTTATCTTTATCCCATAAAACATCTTGTAAAAATACATGGATAAGCCGGGCGGTGGTGGTGCACGCCTTCAATCCCAGCACTCGGGAGGCAGAGCCAGGCGGATCTCTGTGAGTTCGAGGCCAGCCTGGACTACCAAGTGAGTTCCAGGAAAGGCGCAAAGCTACACAGAGAAACCCTGTCTCGAAAAACCAAAAAAAAAAAAAAAAAAAATACATGGATAAAGGGGGCAGGAATAGATTGTGAGGCTGACAACAAAACTGATACAAAAACCAATGAAGGAGAAAGAAAAGAAGAGGGAAAACCCTGTGTGACCGAATTCTAAGGTGCTGGGAGGACAGCAGCAGCAGAAGACAATAAAAGGGACCTAACTCCCTTTAATAGACTCAGCATCACACACTTGGGCTCAGAAGCACTGTTCATCTTCCAAAACATTCACCTTGTTTGTTTCTGACCAGCTGGAATTTCTCTTCTCCTTCAGCCCAGATTCTGTCCATTCTTCACTAAATGCTTGTGGGGAACATAAGTCTACAACCCCTCTCCTTACAGGCAAGCTCAGCACAAAATGCCGTAATGCCCTGAAGAGAATTATGACATGTGGTTGCCTAGGATACAGACTGATGAGAACTGCCTGGATCCTATGAATTAAACAATGCCCACTCATGACAGAAAACCTGCCCAAGAGGCAGCTGTGAAGAACTACTATAATCATCAGACTTTTATCGAAAGGTTAATTTCATTATGTTTCTATCTGCATATCACTTAGTAACAAACTAAACGCCGACTACAGTATGTCAGACTAGTTTAGAGGTTTGGCTAACAACTTGACTTTAAAATGAGAAAAATACTTACATTGTTCTAGTACCCACTAAGGTAA